TGCTTCTCTCAAGTCCTGTGGCGCGGCTGTCCACGAGCTTTTCAGATCATCAACATGGAGGAATTCTCAGGCTCGTCAAGACAAAGTCAGCGCGGCTCGTAACCTCAGCCAAGTCCATTTGAGCAGGCTTGTGGCACGGTGGGGCAACGGCCAAGGGTGGCGCCCTCCAAGAAGCTGACGCTATCTACGGAGCTCTCTGGGGGAGCTGCGGGTTGAACCGCTATGCATGGTTGCCGATGCCACGACACCTGCATCGGCGTGTGGTGGGGGAACATGGTAGTCAGGACCAGACATGGCTAGGCCGGCCACACTGGCGGTGCTTCTACCAGCTGGTAGGCGTCAAGTCCAGGGATTTCGGCCTTTATGAACCAGGTTAAAGCTAGCCGCAGACGCTGAGGGTCTATGGAATGGTGCAACGTTTTAGCCAAACATCTCCATCACGAGGACGGCGTGCGGAAGCAAGCAGGGTTCAGATTGGATATATGCTGGATGTAGCAGGGTCGTCGGCCAAGTTGTCTAGCCCGATGTTTTTTCGCCCAGGTCAAAAGAAGGGTGATTGATACATGCACAGCAACAAAGGATGAATCAAAGAGGGGTAACGCCTCTAGGGATCTGCAAAGCTCGTTCGAGACCCGAGATAAGAGGCAGGCGGACAATGTGTCGAACGGTTGGCCATTGCCACAACACCACATACATGACACTAATTCTGCACTTTTTGCGCAATGGATAGCGAGATCCTCTTATGCATCGCCCAATGGACGTCATCAAGGTTTTGAGAATAACCGGAGTATTAGCACTTCTGCAAAGTCGCAGCGCCAAGGCCCGCTCAACATTTATCGATCGGATGTTTCAGGCCTCAGGCTCCGTGCATGTGAACAACGGAGAGGCGGTCACAGTCACTTTGGTCGTACGTGCATTTATGGGGAACCTATACGGAAAGCAAAGAATGAGTGGAAAGAGGAAGAAATGCAGGGAGAATACGAAGCAAAAAGGGTACATCGACACCTGCAGGATTCGAACCTGCGCGTGCGAACACAATGCCTGAAGTTATCTCGTGGGATAGCAGGGCATCGCCTTAACCACTCGGCCAAAGTGTCTTCAGTTTCTGGATGGCCGGCCCTCATGGATTGGGTTTATACAGCTTTGAAGACACCGCCGCTGGTGCTTCGCAGCCATGTGGTGAATTGAGCATTGACTGATGCACGGTTTGCCGGCCCCTTGGGCACTCTAAGACAGTACATGTTTTATCGATGGGCTGATTGTATGGGGCATGCGGAAGGCCTCGTTCCCTTGATTTGTATAACAGCACGAGTTGCAGGCAGGTCAGACTTGTCACTATCACAATGCAGACAGTCAATCAAATGTGTTTACGCAAGGTTGAGTGGGTGCGATGAGGCGGAGGAGGGGGTGCATCTGCAAAGGAAGAATGCAGCGACATTGAGCGACAACTCATCACATGCGGTGAGTGGCGATGAGCACCGAGGTTGCACGACTACACTGTCAAAGGGAGAAGGAGAGGAAGCGGCCAATTCTTCAAGAAGGAAACTTACTGGAACACGATTTACTTCCCAGGTTCATCAGCAAGTGGATGTGGTGTTGCCTTGCGGAGAGTTGTGCAACGTTAAATTGAGACGGGAATCGACGGGTTGCATGGTGACAAGGTTGTGCATCAGCAGCATTAAGATTCCCATCAGCCTCAGTACGATTCGTCTTGTGCCGCCCTCTCCTGCATAGCATGGAGCAATGCTACTCTTGGTTAGCACCAAGATTGTCGAGTAGGCTTTTTGATGAGGCTCTCTTTCGGATGATGGCGTGCCACGAGCATAGCAGTACGCATCGTCGTCTGAGCTCGTGCGTGTCACTCAGAATTACCAAGCGTTGCGCAGTGACATGAGACGATGTACGACCAAAGCGGAGTATGTCTACCCGCTTCATTGGGAAGAGAGCACTCAGTCATTCGGTTTGAACAGCGGACTTGCGTCTGACTAGTTGGCAGCTAGACTTGTGTCACTTTGGACAGGTCCGTGGATAGGTGGTGCGGGACGATGTGGAATGGATCGCGATCGTTCCAGACTAACTACTAGGGCACTACGTTTTAGTAGCATCGCACTCCCTTGCTGGGCTTACTCATACCACCAACGCAAAATATGCCATATCATAAAGTACAGAGCACTTTGTTTGCTCTTATCGTGGAACAAAAGGAGGCGAAGACTAAACACAAAAAGTCTACTAGGGCAACCTCATACTGCAGGGTAGCCAGCGCCATATCAAACTCTACGAACTCTAGTCGCCAAGTCTCACCGTGGTTTTGCTCACAAGACTAGCTGACATGTCAGATCTCGCACTACGCCCGCTCTTCATCATTTCTGCCATGATTCAAGTGACAGCCAACTGTCGTCATTGGGTGTATGAGAATGATAGGCCATCAGACTTGTCCCGGAGCTAGGCTGGTTGGCTGGACACGCCTCTTTTGATGGCACATTCTATTCTTACCGAGGCCAATGATGGCGGCCGCATGAAAGCAAAGAAGGCAGGTCTACTTCATTGGCCCATGTGGAAACAATAGGATTGAGGGGATCCTCGCTGTGTCTTTGGCTTTCTTTCCCCTTCCAGCGCATGTTCGCCATCCCAGCAAGTGCAGACCGACAATAGCCTTGGTACATACTCGTACCGCTCCTTAAGGTGTGCATGACGGCTCGCATGTGCGAATAGCCATCCGGCGCACGGACAAATGCCTCAGCATGCATGGCTACCTACAAGTGTGGTCGTATTAGACGCATGTACCTGTACGGACGACATGTTGCAGCTATTACTGGGTACCTGTAGGGAGTTGACTGTGATGTACCCGTTTACACAGACAAAGAGGCTGCAGGCAGACGCATCTCCGGCCGGATTTGGGTTCCTTAGGCTGTGCGTAGTAAGGCGAGGTAAGCAAACTGTATCACGGCAGCGTTCTGCGACATCCGAAGGTACACTACTCACGCAGGATGAAGGGGCTGCAAGGATACAGACTTGGTGTCCAAAAGAGAGCCCCTCATTTCCCCTTTTGGTGAAAGAGAACCATCGTGTGTAACCTTCTGCCTGACATGAAGGTTGGAGGATGAGAGAATCGGCGGGTCAGCATCTCCCGCACACCCTCTGGGCTGGTCCGTGTATGGGTCGCACGCGGCATGTCTTTGTCTGTTCTCCTCGACATCAGTCTCTTGGATACCACCCAGAGAGAGGGCCCAGCATGCCATACACGATGGAGCATCGCAATGAGGGAAGGTGGGCCACCTGGCCGGACTCCATCTGTACACACTCGCACCAATCGTTGGAATACTGTGGATAGCGACCAGAGCGACCAAGACGAAAAAACCACATCAATGCAGGCTGGCTAAGATGTACTTGGACGGAGTGCTACTGCGACCCTATATGCACGGGAGGACCTATGGCGATTTACAGATGGCGCAACTTGTCCACATTGGGTTGCCTTTGCAGGCGTCTCGAGACTGTCTCTTGCAGGGACTCGGCGCTCATGCTCGATTTGCGAGCCGGGATCAATGACAATTGAGACGAACAGTAGGACTCGGAGGGAGAAATGGGAGGGGCGCCTAGCAATGGATATCTGCCGTGTTGTCGGCTAACCATGCGACGGCGGCTTTTTTTAGCGGGCTGGGCCTGTCTGGAGACTTAGATGGACGGGTGAAGTGGCTTGCTGGCCTCCCTCTAGATCCCAGTATGCATTTGGTGGCTTGTTCACGGCATGACAGGCTACTGAACAATTGAGGTATAGCAAACGCGGAAATACGATTACCAGTTATGGATTGTGACAAGGAGGAGCGAGAAGATGAGGCTCTAATATGGAGAGAGGTAGGGGCTCACGCCACGATGATACGGCACTCGGCCCAGCGAACTTGGACTAGGAGCTTCTGACAAGTCCCCCCGGCTTATCTACCAGATTACAGGCAGATCTCTATGCTCGGACCACAGTCACCCTTAGCGATGCCGAAAGCCTGGCGGCCGGGAGAGAGGGCGCTCCCGCGCCCAAGGATCACGCTTGTTAGCTTTGTTCCGTGTGAGGTGCGCTGCCGCGGCTGAGACTTTTTACCAATGTGCGCCATGCTTTCGTAACATAGAACACGGGATCTTTTGCTAATGAGAAACAGAGTAGAAGTAGCAGATATACTGATTGTACGAGATACGAGGTACGTACTACCCGGTGCTTCGTCCTCGTCTTGCTAACCTCTACTTACTTACAGAGCACAGTACGTAGCAGCTGAAGTGGAACATTTCTCCCTTGCGTTGAGGTCTCCAATGTTCAATGCCATATGGACCAATCGAACAAAAGCATGTCTCTCTTTCCCTCATTGTCCCCCTCATTCTCTCTATTGGGTCTGTTAAGCAGATGGTATGGCAAGATTGCACACCCGTTGACAGACTTGGCACGAGGGCGTGAGTCTATCATTTCTCACTCTTCTTTTTTATCATTTCACTTATTCATCTTGCTCCCTTTCTAATTTTCATTGCTCAGAGGCTTTTCTAATTAAACTAAAACAGTTGACAAACGGGCCTGTATAGCTACTGGGAACTGGCCGTGCAACGAACGGGTATTCGCCTAAAGACTGTCGAGTAAGCTCTTTTGCACGCAGAGTACAGGGTGTGCATTAGTTTGTACGTACGAGGCACTTTGGTACACCATTGGCCAAAGTCATGGATCAGCCTCTACTTGACACTGCTCGATGGTGATGATGATTGCTTCACGGATGATGTTATGTGCGAACTGTCTTTGTCGCTTCTTCTTGTCAGCTCACTGTCACCAATGCTAATGCCAAATAATTATACTGCCCCTGCATTGACAGACAGCCGAGGTGCTGCCTATCGTGGAAACGGGCACGAACCGGGGGCAAGACTGAAGAGAGCCCAACCTCCTGGCTAGTGCCAAAGCGGAGCGAACCGCCGATTTAGGGGAATTGTTTAATTAGATTGAATCGAGGCTCAATCACCGATCACCTTTGCAAGTTCTCACAGCACACGCCATACCTACAGTACACGAGTGTATACAGTATGGGGTTGTCTGTTGGGCCCTCAGCGATGTATGGCGCTTTCAGCATTCAGACACACCAGAGGCTCTAGTCGAGTGTTTTGCTTATCCTATTCTTGACGTAGCTCGTCTGGATGTGCCGCTGGGTACGCGGATCAAACCTCTGGGGTGGGACCAGCCCGGACATCTGGGCCAACAACAGAAACAGGTCTGAGCTGAAGGCTAATTGCGGGTGCTTTCGTATGGGTACTTGTACCACAGCCGAGGACAAGGCTGAACATCTAGTAAGAGGGATCAGGTGGCTCGGCTTGGGGCTGGATGTGGAGCCTTCTACGTCGGCCGACTGATGGACAGGGCGGCTCGAGGGAGAGGGAAGCTGGAGAGTTGGATGCTTTTTGCCAACAGGCGAACACCGGATTTCCCTCAAAGCGAAAGCAGGGCGGACCGAAACGAGATCCAGCGCCGGCTTGTTCGGGCCGGATCGAGATGAGGTACGGACAAAGTCCATTGCCACAGCCAACAACTACGAGAGGGCGCACTATCGACGTCATTTGCTCTGAAAAACAGACGATGGCGGTGCCTCGAGGGCGAGAGCCACTGGTTGACGCAAATATTTCATTTCTGGCCTGAACAAAGTCCAAGGCCCTAGGGACCCTGTCGTACAAGCACCGGTTGAAATTGCCTGGCTACGATGACTAGTGGTTTTCAATCCCTTGTTCGATTGTGGAAGCAATCGGTGGGGCATTAGTTACGGAGAGAACGCAGAAGCCGCTGCTTCGCGTGCCTTGATCAGAGGAGATTCAAGATTCTTCAAACGCACACGGAGCTGATTCCGGTTCACGACTACGGGGTGCTGCTTTTACCTACCGGGTTGGGCATAGTCGCATCTACAGGGACCGCTTTGAACTGCTGTTCCTCCCGCCCATGGCTCTGGTACCTTGCCAGGAGGCGGTCGGGAAATGACCACCTCGGTCTACAAGTACGAGTATATATGTGTAAAGCAGAGAGGCATGTGCCAATGGTGAAGTATACTCAGGCCAGTGATACAAGGGGGAAAAGAGATTGAGCCGGCATACTAGCCTGCCAAGCAGTGAAACATAGGGGTGCTCTGCCCCCCCGAGCTCAGTTTGAAGGGTCACGAAAAGGCAACCTCGGACGCAAAGGCCAGAGACAAGGCAAACGCAAACGCAAACGCAAACGCAAACACGAAAGCAAAGGCACGCAGCCTGTGCATGCTGCGGCCGTCGTTGTAACCTGCAGCCCGCAGCCCATAGCGGGAAGAACGGGCGCGGCGCGGGACCCCAGACAACAGCCTGTCTAGTGGCCTCAACTAGGTTCAGTTGCTTATCTAACTAGCTTCTAGCCGGAGTGCTTGTATTGATAGCACGGCGCCCCGAGGCGCTCGTCTGATGGGCCAAGGCCAAGCAAAATCTCCCTGCAGCTTACCAGTTCTTGTACGATATCAATACAAGGCGAACTAGACTACCCCCTTTTTGGTGGGGGTTTGGCACCCTGGGTAGCGGCTGGATCGTGAATCCCATTGATCGTCTGGTGATAGTTGACCTGTGAGTTGAAGGGAGCGGATGGGCGGGCGGACGGACGACTTGGCACCGACGCATTCCTGTCAACTGTTGACATCGACATGTCTCTCCCGGCTATTTGGTTAGGAGCGTGTCTCAAACCCCCACCAAAGCGGTACATTTTGTCTTGAATCTCGTCAGTTTTCCGCCTCTACGGAGATACTCCGTACTCCTATTGCCCTTCTTTTCGGGTGAGACAGACCCCGTCTTATCTGACAGCTTTTAGCGGGTACGGCCTCAATGTTCTCGCTCGTTCGTCACTCAAGCGCTATGACGGTCCACGTTGCGAAGTGGTACTTTGAGCTGAGCCAGGACAAGGTTCTCGCAGCAAAGAGCCTTGCTTCTTGTGCTACCCACACGCCAACCCGCGCCAAACGCATCAACCATTGTACTCGTACATGGCACTCGTACCACGACCAAGCGCACAGCGACGGCGACTACGGCTGCTAGTGACGCTGGACGCTGGGCACTAGCAAGGATCTACCCTTTTGCCAGCCCTTGCGCCCTGGAGAAGACACAATGCCCGAAGCCATGGTGGCTGTAGGGAGTACCTGGTTTCCGCAGCACAGACGCATGCCCAGGGAGGTACCCGCACCCGATGGGAACCACACGCCCCGGTGACCTCACTGGACACACGCCACTGGCGGCGCACGCACTGTATTGGCTGGAACCGCACGCATTCTGAATAGTTTTCTCGTGGGTGATTTTTTGAGGCTTCGTTTGAGCTCGTCGGGCCAAGTAAGTCTGTGCCATCCATCAGTACAAGAGCAAAGCCTGGTATTATTGAGCATAACCCCTATTATGTGTTCTTCTGCCCAAAGAGGTACCAGCTCACGCAGTATCGAATACGGTATCATACAGCCAAGTTCAATTGGTACTCGTACATGGTCCGCAGCTACGTAAAAGAGGTACCGGCACTGAGAGAGGTAGTACAGAGACCACCTCTACCAACAGCAGCCGAGCGTGCATTTTTGTAGAATTACTTTTGTATACCTTGGCAGCAGTGGTCGTACTTGCCCAAATATTTCTCTACCTAACTCACTGCCCTCGACGACATCCTAAACTTTTCATCCTTCTCAAACACTTCCATCTTCATCTCACTCTCTCTTTTCCTCTTCTTCGTCATTAGAGAGGCTTTTGAAACGTGGTGATCCCGCTCTCCCCTCGACTTCGCCTCACAATTCCGACGAAGCGTATAAGCCATACACACGCAGCTCCGCAGAGACAACAGCAGAGCAAAGAAAGAATCGACTGTCAAAGCAATTTGAGAGCAGGCGAATACGGCATTCCTCTCTCTTTGCAGCCGACGCCTGATTTGTCGGCCGGCTGCCGTTGCATGAAAGCTTTTCGCCTGGCCTCGTTCTTCCCTGATAGAAGAGCCTGGACTGGCCCTAGGTGCACCATCCGTCAATTGCCGTCATATCAAACTCGGTATGTACCTTTGTGATGTCTCATTTGCAAACGGCTTCTCTGGGGTCTCCTTCCTATCTCATCTTTCCAATGCCTTCCCCTGAGTCTGTACAAATGATTCTTCTGCTTTGACGTGTGTGTGCCTATATGTGGGCACCAAGGCATCTGCACTTGTTGCCCAGCCGTGACAGGCTGCAAAACGATGAGTGGACGAGATAGAAGGATGGAGTATGCGAGCGTGCAGACATGCAATGCTGCGTAAGTATGCGCACATACAAAAACGCATGCCTCTGCTGTCCTTCCTCTTCCCCGTCTACGTCTGAGTGGTGCGGCAACTTGGGAAGAGACACCGCATGAAACGATGCGAAGCCATGCAGCTTCGTCGCTACGGAGCCCTTCATACGTGGCCGAAGCCTGGAGCAATGGAGCACAGTAAGAGACTGGCTGCTGCTACACTCCCTGGCGGCGGTTGGTCGCGGTGCCAACAGCAGCGTCTAGCATGCATTACGCCACCTAGTTTCTGGGCATATCCATGGCAATGGCTTCTGCAAGATGCTGGGCTTCTCCCTGTCTCGTCCTTCCGGCAGTCTGTTTGATCTATTTTCATTGCAAGCCTTCCAGACCACTCGGTCCCCTTTCTTGCTTCTTGCTTCTGTAGCCCGTCCCGACCCTCTTTTTCTTCTTCTTCTTTTTTTTTTTTTATCTGTCTGGTTTTCGGATGACGCCACGTCGTGGCAGACGGAGCTCTTTGTCTTGGAAGAGAGGCACTGTCCCGCTTTCGCACACACACACGGACCGACATGTTCCACCTTGACAAAGCAGCATAGAGAGGATGAATGAAGAAGAGTCTAACACATACATTGCCCCAGGTCTCAGTTGGCGTATCCGCCAGCCAAACTTCTAAGACACACCTGGCACTTGCCTGAGCGCTTCGAGTATACTTCGTCTATACATGGTATAGGTACATACGACTTGCACCAAGATATTCCCAACTCTCCGTTTGGCGAAAACGCCGACGACGGTAGAGACAAGACGACGAGGAAGCTTGGTTTGCTGTAAAGCCAAGCAAGGGTCAAGCTAGTGTTGTGCTGCTGGAGTCGAGCAATTGTTGCATCGCTCCCTTTTCTCATACTCCCGCTGGCAGCCGTAGCTAGCTGCATCTTGTTTCAAAACACATGTTCGTATAAAAGACGCCCACAACACCCAAAGAGCCAGCCAGAACGGTGTCAGAGCTACTTTTGCTTCTCTTGGTGAGGAAGAAACGAAACAGCAGACAAACAAAGAAAGATAAAAAAAGAAACACATCACAATCCGGATTCGCCTCCGGCACGCATCGCAGGTGCTCTGGGCATACGCATACCTACCTACCTGGCGCGATCCAACGCAACCAACACATCAAATCAGACCTCCAGGGCTGGCATTTCTTACGCACCAGGTGGTGTGTGTGCAGCTGAGTTTGCGCACAGGGTACGAAGGACGGCGCAAAGAGAATCGAACGCCCCCCTACGCCTGGGTACCTAACTTTGCACACTAGGGGTGCCGCTGCCAGAGCCACTACCAGAGCCACTACCTGTGGCCTTGGAGACTGGCAGCTTTAGCACCACGCGGTTGAGACTCGTACTGCTACCTCCACTGCAAAGGCAGCACCTGGCGGCACTCCCACTTGCTGCTCTGCGGCACTCCCTAATCCCCCGTTTCTCGCACTACCACCAGCGCTAGAAAGGGCACCCACTAGCCCCTAGCATTAGCGTCTTGCCCTGCCTTAGCTGGGCCACAGCGCTGGGAACGGCACGACACCGGGCCATCCGCCCGCCTTTACATTCCCGCTCGCCGCCGTCTCGTCTTTTTCCTGCGTCCTCTTTTATCTCGTTCCCCCTCCTTCACTCTCGCACCCCACCAAAAACCCTTCTTTTTTCCACCTTGAGCCTGCTGGGAAAAGTCACTTTGGGTCAGCCAACGCAAGTGCCTTTTATTCCCTTTCCCTTTCCTGTTGATTCCTTTCTTTCCCCCTTCTTTCCTCCTTTCTGCCACACCGGAGACCCTCTCTCTCCTTGTCTTCTTGAACCCATCAACCCAGCTACCGAGAGACAACTCGGCACGCCCTGGCTCGTCTTCAGCTAGTCCCGTTTGCTGCGTGTCTCGTCTTCTCTGGCCTCTCCGTCTTCGCTTCTAGCGTGGCGTTTCTCTGGGGGGGCACCTGCGTCTTTGCACATATAGCCACTGCAGCCACCTCCAACCGCTGCCACCACATCTTTCCGTCTGTGGTCAACCAAAGCGCACACACACACACTCCAACCTCAAAAATAACAGGCTGACCACGAGTGCCTTGATTTACTTTTCTATCCCTGGCAAAGCTGTTGTCTTTTTAATCTATTTCACTTTCCAATTGCCTTCTTCTCTTACTCTTATCCTCTCGACAAACTTTTCTGTTCCGTCCCTCTGCTCGTCACGACCCGGAACCACCTCCTTTTCGTCAGGAGCTTCGAGGTCGTCTCCGAAACTGAAAATACTTTGGTTCTCGGTGCCTTGTTTCAACAATCCGGGCCCGCCAGATGCCCCTTCGCTTCCTCACCAACAATTGGGAATTGGTTGGAGGTTCTGGAATCACTCGACTCACTTAATAATCGGCGGCACACTCTCCACTGTCCCGCCACTTCCTTCTCCTATCCATCTCCACAGAGCATGGCAGAGGATCGACATCGCCAGGAGTATCCTCAGCAGCACCGGCCAGAGGATATCAAGCACCAGCCACCCCCTCCTCAATTCTACCACCACCTCCCTTCTCGAGACGCACCTCACTCGGATACCGACAGAAGTCCTCATTCTCGAACCACCATGGCAACCTCCGTCACTTTGCCGTCCATCCACGACCCTCGGCCCAGCGGCTACGGTCCCCCGCCGCCAGCTGGCCGAGGCTACGTGAGCGATCCTCGTTATGAGTCTCCGAATGCCGTCAATGGATATCCTCCGCCCCCTGGAAGTCAACAGCAGCCAGCCTCATACCTCCCTCCTCTGCAACCGCAGGCAGATATGCGGTCTGCCTATCCTCCGCCCGAGCCGCCACGAGGCGCCTACTACGATGACCGTCGCCCCCCTCCGCACCCGGCGTACCACGACCAGTATGCCTCTGAATACTACTACCGAGGGCTCCCACAGGGCCACCATAATGGCTATCCTCACGATTACCCGCGTCCCCCTCCTGCCTACGGACAAGACTATGGCCAGCCCGGAATGGAGCGCCCACGGGAAGCTCCTAGACAGCGCACTTCCATTGCATGCAGATACTGTCGAAAGCGAAAGGTTTGTCACGCAGCGTGGATCGATCCCAGTGTGTTGTTATTGTCAGTCTTATGTGTTCACTTTCCAGTAACTAACCCTCTGCCTCTCCTTCCCAGATCCGCTGCAGTGGCCATCAGAACGCCCCCGGTGGAAAGTGCCAAAACTGTGCTCGGATGAACCAGGAGTGCATCTTTCAGCCTGTCTCGTCTTCTAGCTCAACAGCGTTCATTCCCGTCTCGGCCGTCCCGGGAGGTGTGCCACCGGGAACGCAGCTATTCGGAGCATACGGCCAGCCTCTGGCTCCAAGCGCCGTCCCTCACCCTCACTCTCACCCGCCCCATCACCCGCCTCACCCGTCTCATCCTTATCCTCCGACGGCAGGTCCGCCACACCCACCCCCTGGGGCTTATTACCATCCGCAGGCCCAGTCTCCTACAGACTCATATTCGTCTTATGGAGATTTGAGAGGGGATGACCAATTGACTGGAAGAAGACGTCGAAGGTCGTCGCCAGATCCGGAAGATGCGTACAGGCTACCTCCTCCTCGAGCTGGCGTGGCGGAAGATGATCATCGAAGAAGATCACCCGCCGAGCTCTCTAACAACAGCAGCCCCGGAAGCTTGAGCTATTCACGTTACGCAGGCCCAGCGAGACACAGCCCCCGAAACCCAGCGCTACCCCATCCCGCTAGTGTTGGCAATGCCGATGGTCGTTCGCCTGTCACGCAGCAGAACGGATCGAGCGGCTCCTCGACACCCGCACGCTCGGGCCCTTCAGCCAACCAGTCGCAGCAATCGACCTCCATCATGAGCCTCAGCAATCTCGTGGAGAAGAACGACATTGACAAAACGATGATTGATCGCCTCAACCGTCCTCGAGATACTGGCTCTGGCCAGAGCCAGAGAGAGTCCTCTCGCTAAATGTCCGAAGTGAAGAGACAAGGTCGAATCGGATGCGGGTTGCTGCTGCAATGTTACCAAATTCGGTGAATATACGCCAGCTCATCCTCTTGCCGACGATAATCACCCAAGGTATTCCACCGAGAAACCTTGAGAGTATGACATGACGAAACGGCGACAAGAAGATGTGGAGAGAAAACCGGTCGATTGATCGAAAGCTTCCCCTGGCTGGCAACGAACCCAATTTACATACAACCAATTGATACGTCCGATTTCGATTTTGCTTTTGTCGCCTTTGATGTCTTCCTGACATTGGGCGCTCCGGTCATGCGTGGTTTCTGCAGATTGTGCATTTTCTCTCCCCAACGTTCAACTTGTAACAAAACTGAAGCGAAGAGCTGTGCTCTTTGGGTTCATGCACATTTGCCACCTCACTATACACTTTTTTAAAGATAAAAAAAGGAAAAAGAGACAGCCCAGGGGCTTCCTCAACTTCAATTCGTTGTGTTTTTTTTTTCTTTCGCTTGCTTCTTGTCCGGACAAATTTTCTTTTTAACATTTTTTATTATCAGATAAGACGGAATAGCCTCACGGCACACCATGTTTGGAACGATTGGGGATTGAGTTACGCGATTACATGATTTTGATATATTTCCTCCCCTCTTGTCTGCCCGTTCTTTTTTTTTTTCTTGTCATTTTCCTTCTTCCCTTTTGTTTTCCCACACCAGAGGCACGTTGGGAATAATATTGGTTCTTGCTTCACTGGCATTGTCGTTGAGGGCAAGCCCGAGCAACACGGCACACGGGGGGTCACAGGGGCATGGGGGAAATGTGGCTCATTGGAGGCAGGCTGGCAAAATTCATCTGTTGGGTCAACGGTAAAAGAAAAGCCTTGGACTTGGCTGACGGTTCGGTGGATATGGCGCGGAATGGGCTTGGTTGAAGCTACCCCAGGCGGAGGGCGGCTGCGTAAGGGAGGGTACTCTGTCTGAAATTTTTGATTTTGTCTTATAGTGTGCGATCAACAAGACGTCAGTTGTTTTTCTCTTCGTCTTTTACTTCTTCTCTTTTCTCTGTCTCGTCTTGCTCATGATGTGTTTGCAGCGCCGCTGTTAGCCGTCCATACAGAATGCTAATTCATGTTCTACTACCATGCCTTGCCGCCTCGTCTGCCGTCCACACGTGTGCCATTGGGTCCTCGGGCGATGACGATGGTGCTGTTGGACGAGAGTGAATGCAGCTGGTCGACACGTATTGTCCTGGCCTTGCCCATGTTGGTTGAACCTAGCAGAAGCCGGGTTGTCCTGATCCGGCGCGGCTCGCCGCTCTTGGTAAGGGACGAAATTTGTCTGCTTACCGGCCTGTGTTCAACTGGAGAGAATACACGCCCCCATGTTAAGGTCAGAATGCACTAACATGAAGCAAATGGAGACTAGAGATGGAGACTAGACGGGAAAAAAGCCCCGCTCTCCTTCGCTCTCCAGCTTGTGAGTATGAAGGGGCCCCTCCCGCCCACTCGGTGGCTGTGGGATCCCCCCTGAAAAGACAGGAATGGGCTGAGGAAACTGAATTTTGGCCGCTGGAAGCAGCTAATCATCACTGAGACAGGCGGCACACGTCGATGCTGTCCCATCAGGTTTCAATCTTTCATGCCTGGCGATGACTTTACTTTGCTCACGAGCCAGAGTGTGAATAGGAAGAATATGTGTGTACCCCTACCAAAGAGGAATGGAGAGCGAGAATGATGGAGAAGCAGAGAGACAAAGAGGCAAGGTATCTGAAGAAAGAAATCAGGGTGGCAGGGGATCAGCTGGCATTACCTGCATGCGCGGCTGAGAAACAAATGGGGGGCAGACAGAATGTCGGTCTGCAATCACCTACCTGCAACTACTCCGCCCAGCCTCATGAGCCCAACTTTGGACGCGCATGCTGCATACACTCGCACTTACGGGGCTTTCGATAGATGATGGGAAATGTGACAGCACTGATACAGGTAGGCAGCTGAGCAGAGGAGGGGGCTCTGGGTCTTTTCCTAGTCCTCGTCATTCTGCAGACGCAGTGATCGAATCAGACGAGGCGAAGGGGGTTCTCGGAGTTCTCAATGCAAGTAGAAAGAAGGCTGGTCCCTGTCTCGTTTGTTAGGGAAGACAGGGAGGGAGGGGTCAATGAATTTTTTTTCTCCCCTTGTCCATCTTTGACTCCCAGCAGGCTGCTATGATTGGCAGTGATGAAACGGATGCCCTCATTCAAATGCCCACAGGTGCAAATCTTTTGTTGCCAACCAACTGCGCGGGTCAAAATGCACCGTCTCCGAGTCCTGAAGAGATGAGAGAGCTGGACAAGAGCAGGCAGCATTGTCGGCTAGATTTGGGCCTAACTATGGCTGGCGGCTCATTGCAGCAGCACTTGACGGCTTGCGAGCTAGAGGCTTTGATCCCGCGGCACCGCTCGGATCGCCTCGCTATTGCCTGCTACGACGGATGCTAGGGGAACATGGAAGGGCTAGGGAGCTCTTAGGGGGGGAAGAGCCGTGTATGATAATTTCGGCTCGTCATTTGTGCTTGTGTTTTGTTTGATTTTACGAGACAGGTTTGATTATCATTTTGGAGGCTCTGCCATACTGGAAGCGCTGGCGATGAACCTAGCCGAACAGCTTCAGATTTGGGTAGCGTTTGGAAATTAAAGCCCGAGCGAGAAGAAAACCCGAGTCAAACAGAATGCATGACATCTCTGGACTGATTGCCTTTAGTGGCTTCACAGCGTGCTGAAAGGGGGGGTGATAGGGTGAAAGGATATGACTTGATTTGGGGCGACTCGTTGGGAGTAAGAGTTCCTAGTACTGTGACGAGGCTAAGGAGGCAAGGCTAAGAGAGAATGGACTTGGCTAGTCGCCCAGCCAGTGCAGTGACGAGACGGAATCGAGGGGTGGAAGACGAAATTGAAAGCATTAGGGACAAGCTAGAATCAAAGTAGCCGAGCAACATGAAGTCAAGCATGATTCGGGTGGTGGGCTTCGGGCTTCAGAGGGGTGGACGGAGATTGTACCGCGAGTGTTCTTAGATGAACCAACTTGGTGCGGCTTTGCTTCAGGCAGGATACTCTTCTTTCTTTCAAAGCTAGAGTCACGCCTGCTTCTGGACCGCACGGAGCTGATTCGACAGATGTCTTTGGAAGCACTTGCTGGCGTGGGGGAGAAGTACACCTCCGTGATGAGGGGACGTGAGAAAAGGAGGCAAAGTGAGGCAGAGAAAAGCATCCAGATACAACACGAGGCTGTATTTTGCCTCCTAGGGTGCGAGAACGCGAAAGGGTGTCCCTGTTGGATCTAGTAGAGTTCAATAGAGACAATAGGGGTGACGACTGACGCCGCAAAGACACTTAGGGGGCGAGTCAGCAGGACCACGACCCAGTTCTCGGTCAAGAACAAGGAGGGTCCCAGTACACCTTAGGGCCTCGCCGCCTCACCCAGGCGGACCGACGCTTGACAGGCAGCGCACGAGACGGGTGGGACTTGTGAGGCAATAAACTTCGTCGCCGGCGGCAGCGGAACGGCTTCTTGTGGCCGCGAGCCTCAAGCGCGCCATCAGTTCGAGTGCCCTTGCAGCTTTGGTTTGCCGGCAAGACCTGACGAGCGGCATAAGCACGGAGAAGAGAACGGGGGAGGGGGAGAGGCAGACTTGGGGAGTGGGAGCAGTGGCTGGCGGCTGACAAACGGGCGTGACTGTTGGTATTTTTTCTTCTCTTGGCTTGAGTTAGTTTCTAGCATCTTCTCATGACTGGAAAGAGCACGTACTGTTTGTTACCCCGTTCCACTAGTCCGCCAACTAGAACAGTCTCCTCCGTATCTAGTACTGGGTGGATTGGGGGTGAAACTTGGTGGCATTTCTTTCCGCCGTTCTCGGAAGATGCCATGATGAGCACTTGGGAGAAGACGGGCAACGATGGCCGTGTGCGTACGGCGCCTTGCTGGAGCACAAAGTCCGTATCTCGTGGCTACTTGACGCAGTTCGGGCCGGAGAAAGGACCAGGCGGGAGGTAAGTGGCGTCTCGAGAGGCTGAGAATCCGAATCATGGCAAGGGAATAGCCGGCGAGTCGAGGTACAAAGATACTAGATGAGCAGGCAGTCAGTTCTCCGTACATCGAGAAGTATATGGGGGATTGTGGCTTAATGGGCTTGTCTTGGTGGTAGTGAGCTGAGCAGCTGAGACCGTGGCTGAGACAAAACAATCTGGAGGAGCTGAGACATTAGAAGTAAATCCGAAGTGTGCGATGGACGGTAAATCCGATCTGCTGTGACGTATGAGTACATTTATATTTCTAAAACTGCGAAGAAGCAAAGAATGATTGTGATGGACGAGAGAATGAGAGGAAATGAGAGAGGAAGAAATATGGTCGAGAGAAGGAACTCTGAAGTGAGGGTGTGAACAGAGGCATCAAGTAGCTGGCAAGTATAGAACAGCACGCAAAGCACCCATCACTGCGTCGTTCTGGCCAGATGGTACCTATGGGGAACACCAAACTCTACATGAACGAATTTGAGGCAGTCGCACCTGCTTTGCAACTGTGGTCTCCCAGGAGTACCTCTTTATCTACTCGAATTTCTTTTTTTCAAAGTTACTTTCCAGCAGGCGATAATACCCAAAATGCTCTTGCAATCATAGCAGGTACTTGAAAATTTACGTTGGGAATGAGGGGAACAAGTATCTGTTGTCTTGGTTTCTCCCCCTTTTTTCATTCCTCCGTCATCAAGCCGCCGTAAAATCAGTGGTGTAAGCAGTCACTGATAACACATCGTAGGATCGCAGCCAGTACAAGAGAATTCACAAGCTCCTTTGTAAAAATCCAAATGGATGGGCCTTTCTTGGGAAACGCTATTTAAAGGAAAAAAGGGTTTGAGATTGGCTTTCCGCAATGCTACTCTGCCGGAAGTGGTACCTGCATGAGCCAGATCGTCGGGGCCGCGACTGGAATGCAAATGACGTTTCCGGCGGCCACCTCGTCGAAGCTTCACCATTTTCCTCTTCTTCCTTTAACTATCAATAAACTACGTTTACTTCTTTCTGCTATGCTTTGCGTAAATTCCATTTCCGGCATTTGGTATCTACAACTGGTTTGGTCAAGGCTGAGCTAACAGGGGCTGAGATGCCTCGGTATGCAGACTCAGGAGGCGGCCTTCACACTTTTCGCCACAGCCAACCTGAACTCTATCCAAATATCCTCCACGTACTTCTTCTGCCACCCCGTCGACTGATGCCTTTGAGCACGGGGCCGCCCGAAAAGGCCCGAGGCCCGACAACGAGGAAGGGAAAGAGCCCGCTGGCGCCTCGTTTGATCGAGGCGTCTATGGGGCGGAACTGGTACAGTATGGAAAGAAGAGGACTAGGAGGACTACGACGAGAACTAAAGGGGCTCGACGCCGGCGTGGCCGAGCGTGGAGTCTTCTCCATTTGTCTCGGAGAAGGGACTTGTCGTTGTTGGCAGAGCATGTATCCTACCCAACATGAAATCATCGAGAGAAATTTGCCTCTGTCAGTCTCGTGGACCTCGTCAGATGTCATGTTGGCACGCTGATGTGAGCACGGGATGCTTCATTCAGTATGATTATGGAGTGTTGGTGTTGGACGGTCAAAGGACTCGAGTCACATCCCAGAGATACCTCGTTATTAGCTGAAAAAGAGTTTCTTCCAGTAGGAAGTACATCCATTCATCGAGCCACCCCAACCCATCCACCCACACATCGCCATATCCACCCGTCTAACGCCTCTCTAGGGCTCTCGGAGGCGACATTTATGGCTGAATGAAGTTAGAACCCGGTGCTTTGCTCTGTCCAACCGTCTCTGACGCAAGGTAGAGTGACTTTGGTCTTCAGGGGGTAAATTCCAGGAGAGAAGGCAACGTGAGATGCTGCTTCAGGTGGCTAGTGTGGCGTTTCCAGCTGAAGAGACACCGAAAAGGTATGATACGGCTTTCATTAGGCTATGCTTCGTCGAGCTGGCGGTTGCTGGATGTATTGGTATCGACCAGTGACGTGAGCTCTATGGTTTTGTGGAAAGCCCCATGAATTCGGAGTGTATCTGGGGAGGTAATCTAGCAATTCGTATGGATCTAAAATCAAGTCGGGCGCGTTCATAGGCATGTCGTCGTGCACCAATCCACGTAGCCAGTCCTGGAGATGATTTACCATATCTATTACCACCAGCAGAAGCTCTGGGGGGAGCTGTAGAAGATCGTCAAACAAATCATCGATATCATAATCCGAATCACCCATTGTAGGAATCTGCTTTAACGACACTAGAGAAAAAAGGAGGTCATCAGCGAGAGATCAAGGGTGTAAGAATGAAAGAAAATCTCTTCTGATGATGGCTTACTACCTGGAAATGAAGGAGATGAAAACAAGAGTCTCCTTTGTGACGACGCTTTTTTAGGTGGTGCTGCTTAGGGAGTCGAAACGAGATGTTGATGCTGATGAAGATTGTAGGATCGAGGATGCTGGAGGCGAGAGATTTTTGTCTTGGATGAAGTTTTTCAAACGCTGAAGATAAATCTGCCTTTGGTCTTATTTCCTGTTCTTTCGCTACGTGGCTTGTGCCGCAAGGCGGAGAAGGAAAGTGGGAGACAGCTGGAGGCAGGCGCCAGAAAGGGAGGAAAGACCGTCACTGAAAATAACATGGCAAGAATGGCTTAGTTGATAAGTATCTGATAACAACATTACATCTAGAGGCATTTATTAGCCTTTGAAATTCATTAAAATTTCTTTCTCTTTCTTGTCGATTATTTTGCATCCATCGCTGTGTCGAACATGATATTGCTGGGAATAGGCTGCTTATTGGAATTTGTTTAAAATAAATGTCCCGCTAATAACGGCTCGTCCCTTTGGTCGTCGCTCCAAAGAGGGAAGTTTTGGCGCCATTTTGGCCAATGGGCCACGGGCTCGGCTTATTAGTGACGACAAGCTAACTGCAACGAGTTGGGCCGCCAGCTTAGCAGCAGAACTCACTCAGTAGGGAAAACGACAAGACAACAACAAAAATATCATTGCGTAAAATAAAAGATGGGAATGTTAATTAAGACGTCTGTGGGAAATGCTTGGACCTGCATGCACAGTCTTAGTCACTATGTGCTAGTGTGGTCTTTTGAAAAAGAGGATCAAATAAGGACCGTAGGATGGATGATAATCGACCGATTTCTTCAAATGCTCCGAAAGCCCTGTTGTTCGAAGCGGTGGTGACGAACGGGCGTTCAACTCGGAACCTGGTTCCCCCGGAGAGTTGCTTTCGGACAGCTTTCGGATGATCCTAAGCATCGGTATCTGCAACTAGCTTGCATTTACAAACGCTCAATGTTACGTTCCTAAAGTGCTTTAGGCAGGAGATGCAGGAGATCAGGATGTTTGGTGGGAAATAATTTGTCTGCTGTGGACTTAACAGGCCAAAGACTGCCATTGTTACACTCTGCGGAGTATTTCCACCATTAAGCTTATTATGTCTGGTGTACTGAAAATAGATATCTTATATAATTTAGCCTTATGATTATTGATCCAACTGATCATGTATATAATCTTGTCTATTCTCTATTCCACAGCTCAAGATTTCCCTGGCCTCTATTCTTATCCATATCGTTCGTTTCTGAAGTCGACTTCTTCTCCAACAACTCGTTACGCCAGTCAATATGCGATCTGTCATTTGGACCGTTGCCCTCTTCTTCCCCGCGTGGGTTGCGGCCGAGAAGTACGTCCTCTGGAACAGCCAGACGTGCGAAGACCAAGTCGAGGATGGTATCTCGTTCTCGCGCTATGCAACCTACAACAACGCTGTCGATTGCTTCGATTTCGTCGATAATGTCGTTGCAGGCTCAGTCAGTCAGAGTGAGGACACTGTATGCCAGGTATACACCGGCACTGGCTGCAGTGGCCAAGAAGTACAGCTTACCTGCACTGCCAACAACCTCTTTCAGCCCAATCTTTGCTGCACGGACACTCCGCAAGGAATCAAATCTCTCCGCTGCCAGGACTAGGAGTAGCTAGCGAACGATGATTCAAAGACTCGGAGGTGACAGGGAAGAGTTGAAGACGCGCTGAAGGGTGGAGGGGCGGATGCTGGACTTGGCGAGAATGCATTGAAACACATTCTGCCAGAGTGTATCCGATTAAAAAAGGCCGGGAAAGTTCTTGGATTTTGGAGGAGACTCGACAAGATTCGTATGTATATATTATGGCTATTCAGAATGAATGGAAGCTCGATTGTGTATGGATCTTCAGGTCCACGAAGGTAGACCTGCCAACAGCATCTAGCGCCCATGAAGTCTTGCATTTTGCTCTACTCGTAGACGAGGAGCCTTATTTGGTGTTTCCCTGCACATGTAGCGCTGCTGCCGTGACTGTAGTTCGTATTGGTGGTATAATTATCAATCGCAGTTGGGCTCCGGTATAGCTCCAAGGCCGGCTTGCTATCTTCGCTTCGGCAAGTGTCGAGCTCTGTCTTGGGTGTTTGAAAGACAATTATTCCAAAAGTAGGATTGGGCAATTATGTTGGATAGATCTCCAAATGACCATCTGAGGATCGGACACAGAGGTTGTGCTGGGCTCGAATTCGTTTCGTTGGCCTATTGAGTATGGTACGTTTCGTCAGCCTCATGATTCGAAAAGAGGAAAGAAGACGACGATCCGATGATGCCAATGTTTGTGAATAAAACGCTCTTCAACAATAGAGGGCGTGGGGGAAACAGGTCACGGGTAAGAGAACGGCCGTATGGCGTAGCATGAAGAGCTGCCCTTCCATTATCTTGGTATCTGATTCTGGATGTTTTCAAAGACGTGTTCAAGAAGGCCATACATTTGGCGTTGATAAATCGGCTGCTTTGGCCACTTGTTGACAGATGATGAAAAGTAGAAACGCAGGTGTGGGATTGCAAAGCAAAGATAGCCAAATACAATCACGTGAGGAGGACCAAGACCCAGGGGTTCGGACTGTGTATTCGGTCATGGCAGAAATTGTAATATTTCTGGCTTGGAAATGTTACTATGATATCGATTCTGTATGGATCTAGCATCTGCTCGAGACTAATTACCCTTTTGATGTGCATGTATACCCACGAGGCTCTATGGGAAGTGACGAATACATGGATGGTATCTCGGTGCGTTTAGAAACAGCGACCAATACTCTGGCCTACAACCCTCTATTGAATTCTTTCCAATAAAATGGGCGTTGGTAGACTTTTGAAAAAAAAAAAAAAAAAAAGCGTTGCTAATGCCGCTTTGGTCTTGTCCATTTATTTCCCTTTCTTCGGGGCGGTTTGCGAGTACGTGCTGTCTTCCGTCGATCCGGTTGCTTCAGCGATTCAGCATCCTGTCTCTCCAACAAAGCAAGGGCTCTCTCTAGCCTATTCTTGTGCTCAACCATGTCGTGATAGCCCTTATATAGGTTGGCTATTCTCTCATCGCGGAGGGCAGGGGCCTCTGCTTGGTCCATCTTCATCCCTTGATCTTGATGGATATCTTGCGGTTTGAATCCCAACTTTTCCATCAATTCCAACATCATTTGTAACGTTTCATGCATGATCTGCGTTGGTTCTAGCGTTTCGTCCGTTTGTTTTCGCATATCGTCTGGCTGTTTGTATGAAATGACAAATTAGACACGTGTAATGGCATAGTACTGACGAGAGAGAGGGGAGCGAATGGTGGGCTTCGTACTTTGCCTCAATATGCGTCCAAAGGAACAGTGGTAAGCATGATTAAATGTATGGGCTTCGCTCTTTATGAACTAATAATCAAGGCACATGTATCCGGCGCGGGTGAATCTAGCAGGACAATGAAAGAAACTTGTCAAAGGCTTTGCCTTGTTGCAGGATTTCTTTTAGTATTCGTTTGTTACTGTATTTTTAGTGGTTGTTAGATGGTAACCAGCTCCCGTTCTTTTTCTGGAACAAAGCGTCAATTCGAACACTTATTCTTTGTTCATTCTTCGGTCACTCCGTGGTAAAGTGGTTCAAGGTTGCAAGATGCCATGGCCCATGCTAAAATTCGTAAACAGCTAGAGGCGTAAAATGTAATACCGGGCGGCCCTGGATGTGGTTTTGGTTAATGTCGATTCTTTTCTATATAAAGAGAGGGCCTTCTAAATAACTCCTCTATCGGCCATATATACATCCTACAAGTCCTAAAGTGTTACAAACTCTTGCATGTACACGACTTAATAGTCCATAGCTATGGATCGTGTGCTGCCCATTCTCTATATGCGCTCCAAACACTCCTCATTCGATCCACTTGGCCAGGCGTAAATTCTTTGTAGCAAGAGCTGCGGAGTCAAGTCAGTCGAATGGATCACTTAGATAAAGAATAGCAAGAGCAAGAGCAATATTCAGGACGTACTCGTACGAATAATCCATGAAATTGTGGATTGGATCCAGGCCTGGTTTGTCAGGGCAAGAGTCTCTCCCATCAGGGCATCCGTTCGAGGGAGACGCCTGCGCAGGCGTATCATCAACGAAGTCGCCATCGCCCTCGCATCCCCCTTCAAAAGTGTGGAGGAGTCCTAACCAGTGACCAACCTCGTGCGTGAGTGTCTTTCCGAGGTTATAGTTGTTTAAGCTGCCGCCAGGGACAGTATCTGAGCGAATGGTGCAGCCGTCTTGCAAGAGGGCTGAATCAAGGTCATCGCCCGCGGTGGGAACTGTACAAAGACCAAGGGTATGGAACTTGGGAATGAACCAAAGGTTCAGATCATTATAACTGCCATTACGAACATCATTCCACATGCGCTCAAGATTGGTGCCATTAGCCCACGTCTCGTTGATGGTTCTGTCTATGGCTTTTAGGGTGAAGGATATATTGGCCGGCTGGTAGTCGGAGCTTAGAACTTGTAATTGGCTGTGGATAGTCTCATCCTATTCGTTGCTTTAGTGTTGAACCATAGGTAAGAAGACTTTTAGGGGGGTAGATAAAGGAGCTCAGGGAGACCTGACTCGCAGCAGGAGGAATTGAGTGCGACTTACGCTTAGGTATCCGTCCGTCTCATTCTGCGAGCTTGCCACAATGTGTACATATACACTAATACCAATCTGCTGGGCAAACCTGCGACCTAAGATTCGATCAACGGCCACTTCTGGAGCAAACCGTTTATAAATCGCCTTGAACTCGCTACTGGGGGATGGAATGCATTTCAAGTTGCTGGAATCGAATGTTCTGCCCATTGTTGTGCACGCAACAGCCGATATGGCCAGAACGCTGGCTGCATTGGAATTCCAGATAAACATGTCGTGTACCTAAATATCACAATGTGATAATCATCAAGAAGAGTAGGACAAAAAGTATTGCACAATGTTCTCACGGGAATATATGAGCAAGGACAAAAGACAGAGCTGGATCAGGCTTGACTGGCAAACCCCACGAGGGGGGCGAACGGTAAATATAAATATAAACAAATAAACAATAACAACAGAGAGTAGATAGCCTTTATTACTCAACATAATTTAACGCTAGTATAAACTGTATATCGATTTGAATGTTGTTGGCTGGAATTAACTCTTGCCCCTGTATAATGGAACTGTTGGATCCCATTTCTCTCGATATCACATCTTGAATCCTGGGTGCGGCTGTATGACAGCGAGTCAGATAGTCGGATTGAAGGAAAGCATCTATTTCTCCATCAGCATACAGCCGGAAAGGATATTCATGTCTCTGTTACCCTCAATCTATCATGGTACATCCAGCAGTTGGGAGGAAGACATATCGTTCAATGAGGTTTTAGCTTCTTTGGCGCCGCGGACGCCACAGAGAGATGGCGTTGATAAAGGCCCAAGTCCAGGCCACTGGTTCTCAATTTCTTGGGTATTAGAGAAAACATTGCACGATACTGTTTATTCTTTAGAGGACCTCTCTTTTCTTCGAGATAAAGTAGCTTGGAAATCCCCGAGCAACTACTGCGAAGTAAATGCTTTGCTATGTTTTCCTGCCAGCCGTTGCCTAGAGAATTTGATGTACTGCTGTTCTCGTCAAGTTTGAGGCAATCATGGTATAACCTTGTATTCCGAGTAACCAATAGATGTGCGTTGCGCGTTCTCGCGACGGGAATTTCTCAACTGGTGGTAATATTGAGTAAGAGCAAAGAATCGTGCCTTTTGTCTGTAGCGAAAGCAGATCTTTCATTAGCATTAGTACTATTAACGACTATGGTCAGGGTTCCTAGCATATCCAGTGCCAAGAGATGGATGATATTAGGCCGGACTATCTTGCAAGTCTCGCCGATATCCCTGGTAATAGTAGGAATCTTGACTCTCAAACTTGGCCAAATAGTCAGGTCCCTTCGGCGCCGCACAACATATGCAGTGGGATTATTTGTCTGGGAGACAGAAAATCACAGTATACATCTGAAAATAGCTTCTAGCTTATCGTGATCTGTAATCCAGGTGGTTTGTTCAAGGCGGACCGACTTTGACTCGCAGCGATGCCATTGGAATCCCCCGTCATTTGAGATGACGATTCCTGGCCGGTCTACTTGAGTCACAGTAGAAGAGGAAGTTGGAATAGAACCACCGAGGAAAGCCACAGCACCCAACAAACCACCTACGTAGGAAGTTTGTTCGCAGATTTCAGGCTCCTGCACAAGAGGCTGCTCGAAAATCCGGTTGAAAGTTTGCATGTTCAGAAACGGTATTGCAAGCAGTGCAATTTTGAGAGGCTGTCATTAAACGAATCTTGGGCATAGCCATGACGATACGATGGATGTCGATAATTTGGCTCTGGTTTTGAAGTATTATGAAGGAGGGAGAAATTGATACAAGGAGAGAAGGTGTGGTTGTTGTTTTGGCAAGCGGTGGCCAGCCCAAGAGGGCAGAATCAAGACACCCAGATTTTGGAGGCCACTAGGTCAATATCAAATCCATCACCTTCATAGAATCCTGAATTGCAAACAAACATTACCTTCCTCACGTATCAACCCATAGATTACGTCTCATCCACTTCTTGTCCAAGATGAATCTGAGCGAACCCGAAAGGGGTCATCAGATTCAGCGTCACTCAAGCAACAAACGTGATTTGATGTTCAGAAACTATCAACTCGACGCTACTTTGACTTGCCAAATTGCGAATTTGTATGTAATAAATACAAAAAGATATCAAACGCTCTCACGCTTGCTCAACGTTGCAGTGGTATTTCGTCATGAAAAGGGGGAATAGCAAACGGATCTGGTTATTTGGAGGGAAAAGGAAGACTTGTAGCCAAACGATGCCTAACTAGCACGGTAAAGTGCTGGGAAATATATAAAAACAAAAAAAGAAATCCTCCGTCTCCCAAACGCTCCTGCGATTTTCTGTGTATACCCATCTGCAAATATACTGGTGTGTAAATCCCGGTTCTTCTACTCTCAATTCGCTCTCAATTCGCTTACTCAATATCGATACATGGGCTCCTTGCTGCTCTTCGGAGGAGAGGTGTAAAGGTCCTCGTCGTCTGATACCTGGTAATCAGGCTGTAAATTGTGTGTCGAATGGTTCTCGGAAGCGACACCGGACCCAGTGGTGCCATGTGTTGACGAGCCATCCCGGTGGTTGTTCAATCCAAAGCCAGGGTGGAAAGGCTCGTCCATGACGGCCAGATGACCATTGGAGCTGGCACCACCTGGTTGCGGGTCACTGAATGGATCTACGACAGGCTCGGACTCCGGGGGAGGAGCCCTGCCGCGGCCCGGGTCCAGCTGCTTGCCATTGTTTGGCGGAGGATGGGACGGAGGGCTGTAAAGGTCGGTGTCTTTGCCCTTTCCGTTACCAACTGAGACATTGGGAGGGGCGGGGCTGGATCTAGATGACGATGCATTGGGGACCTGCCATCCCTGAACGCCATTGGAGCCGTGAAGTGATTGCTGCTCAGGGGCAGGCGATGGGTTCTCGGATCGCTCGTTGAGACCAAGCTGTTTTCGGGCGCTAAGTATAGCACGTTGGTGCTGGCTAAGCGCAGTCTGCAGCTGTTCGTTGGTGTCGATGAGGCTCTCCATGGTGTCGTTGTCTGGCGCGGGATCGGTCGACACCATGTAGCCTTGGATGCTCCTTGAAGCACTCAGGCATCGGTTTGAAAACTCCCTGATGAGCTCATTCTCAAGCAACTCCACTGCCGGTGTGTTGATGACAAGCTGTTCCAGTAGTTTTGCGGACGATCGCGCCTCTTCCAGCCGGCTAGTCAGCTCGACGGGTTCGGGCAGCCGGTGGTTGCTGTGATGCCTAGAGAAGTAGTTTTGTGAATATCCGTTATCAGGCGCCACTGACTGCGGAGGGCGCTGGGGTAGTGTAGGTGCTCGACCCTATTCCTCCATGTTAGTTGGCCGTCTCTTTGGACCACAAAGAAAAGAATGGGATCAATTGTGTCCGTCACATACTCCATGCTGCTTGATCGCCTTTTCCTTCTCCTCCTGCCACAGCGTAATGATCAGGGTCAAGTTCTCGTCGTAAAACTTGGTGCGTTCAAAGTCATCCAGTGTATCCATAAGAATCTGGCGCACACTGTTGTCCTTTGTGCCCTTGAGCAACGCCCGAGTTGTGTCTACAAACTTGGTGTCGAGGTTCCTCGTAAACGTCTCGCCCGGGTTGTCGGCCAGTATCCGCATCAGCATGATGGCGTTGTACTGCCATGACGGCCGCGAGGAATATTCCTTGGACATGTATTTCCTGATGATGCGTGCGCATTCGGCAGCGGCGGTGGGTGAAGACTCGGCGGCATCGACAATCGGGGGGAGGAAAAGCACTTCATCGCTCTGTTCGAAGCAAGCGTCGGTTAGTGGGCATTGCTATGAGGGAGTTGAAGGGAGTTCGTTAGGATTACGTACTTTTGCGGTTCCGCCAGATTCGCAAAATGCTTTCTGGAAAGGTTCGGTTAGTCCAAAGTTGCGCGCCAAACCCAACAAGCCGTTGCGCCGTAGACACAGCAACAGGCCGAACCGAAACATACCACGCTGTTATGGGCCGTTACTTCGGGGGTGTCCCCTGGTGTCGTGGCAGCTGAACGATCTGTGCTACCTGTCGATCATAAAAGAAGGGATAGTTAGCATTTCCAGCTTCTCGGGTGGTCCAGGGAAATGTGCAGAGGATATCGCATCATGGCCTTGGCGCCCATCGTGAACATGTGGAAAGTCGCCGGCTCAAGAGGGAAGGGAGGGAGGGATGAGCTCATACTAGTCTTTTTCCTGATGCTCCCCAGCATCTTATTCATAGAAAGGCCCTTCATGGATTTCATCTTGGGCGAAATTATGTCTCCTCAGGCGTCGTTGGTAGAAAATCGCGAAGCACGGATGATGGGAAGCGCGTTGGGCAGGTTTTGCGGGGCACAGCGGAGGACAAAGAGGCAACGGAATCAAGAGCGGGATATTGCAAGCGTCATTCGGTTCGAGGCGGGTATTCGTCGAATTTGGTAGAGGAGAGGAGAGGAGACAGAAAGAAACCCAAACCAGGCTGCAAGATTGAAGGAGTTGGCGAGTTGAGAGGATTGAGAGTGGGAGAAGCGAGGATTGTTGGTGGTTGCAGTATTCGAGCTTTTTGGGCTGGGGGTTGCAAGTCTGTAACCTGTGCCAGCACCTAAACTAGCCTGTAACAAAAGCTGCGACTATGTCAATGCTGCCTCGATACTGCGCCAGAGCCTCGGAGATTACCAGACTAGGTACTTTGTAGATAGGATGATGCGTCTAATCCGCGGAGACTTGCGCCGGGGTAAGTGTACCTTTGTTCTCTTTTTATTTCAATCTATCTTGTTATTGTTTGCCAACTGCGCTGCAATATTCCGGTCCTCAATATTGTTTGTCGGCCTTTGACAATCAATCCTCTTCGGCTTTAATCCCGCGGCTGCCTGCCCAAGTTTCTTTTTCTCCAACAAGCCCAACGATGAGGAGATGCGACTTTGCCATCGTTTTCCTGGTCCCGCGAAAATTGGAGTATCTGGTACATGCATTAGCCGCTGCATTTCCCATTAAATCGAGCCGAGCAAGGGTCCAAAGCTTTGGTGCGATACATGATGTGGTACCAAGAGATGCAGTGGCAGTCGCGCATTATTCCAAAGTACTCCGCGGGCTCCGTTGAAGTACCTTGATTGCTTGAGGCAGTCTGGGGATGCGCGACGAGTTAGTATGAATGCAGTAATAACGGGAACGGTTGCGGTTTGCTGCTGCTCAGCAATCGACCAAGTGCGTAATGGAAAGCGGCGCAGCTTGATCTACAGAGCGTTAGCAGGTACTTGGCAGCACTAGAGCCAGTAGGTGCCCATTCCAAGTACCGGGCATTCTGTTTCTAAGGGTCTTTTTTTTTTTCTAGATTCATGGAATCATTGTTCAGGTATGGAATATTAGGCAGTCATAAATAGTACTCTGACATGCTAACTGCTATAACTCTAGGTGCTCATAAAAACACCTACACTTTCTATTGAACAATATGTACTTGACAAGTGAACTTCTAAAACTCACATTCGAACGGTGATTCGAAAGCCTCTTAATGGCATCACCTTGGCCACCTTCGTAGGTGTGCTGTGCGAATGTCACTGTGGCAGCCCGCTAACAAACGTGATGGATTTCGGCTTTACCAGGACATGCCAACTTCCACAAGCTTAACAGCAATAAGGATGTGGAGGAGGCAAGGCCGTCAAAACTATCAAACAACCCTTTCGCTGTCAGCTCTACACCCCATTGGGCAAAAGCAGGACTAACAACCGCCATGAGTGGCCAGCAAACTCCATTCCCGCTGATTCCATGTTATCTCATTCGTCCTTCAACTTGGCTCTGGTCTCTTTTTCTTGGGAGGCCGCCATGTGTCGACTCGACCAAGTTTTTGTTTGCACAGCCTCAGGCTCTACGTAATCCTTCGTGGTTTGCTCACGGCATTGTGCAGATGGTGGAGGATGATAATGCTCACATGTTCCAAGATGCCGAGACAGGGTCACCACGACAAACAGTCTGAATACTCCCGACTTGTTTCCGGTCCCATAGAGCCTCACGTGTGCTAGCCCTCGTCTCCAGCTTCCTACCCTTTTTGCTTTGTAATTCTCGGGCACACATCTGGATCTCCCTGACAATACTGTAGATTGAAGAAAAGGTGGTGGATGGGGTTGAGGTGGTTCTTCATCACCCCATCTGCCAACTGCCGTCAGCAAAGCTGTTCTACGTAAGCTTCTTGGCTTTGCAACACACGTGAGTCGTAAGTCAAGCCATTGCAAGGTATCATATACAAGACAGACCAGTCATGTTGGATCAATTTTCCTTTTATTTTTTGTTGCTTTTATTTTTTAAGAGAAAAATTACGTGGAGTCCCATCAATAGTGTCATGTGTCTATCATACTTCTTCATTCGTCATCCTCATCCTCGTCATCAGATAGGTCTTCCACAATGAGATTACCAGACTTGCCAATCGTCTCCAGCATGGTTGCAGTTTTGCTTGGCTCGTACACCACACGTGGAATGGTCGAAGCTATCCGGAACTCGTACTTGTGCTCGTAGTCTTCGGGCTCGTCTACCTCGTCCTCCTCCAGAGTTTCACCGCGCAGAATGTCCTGGCAGTCAACAAATGCGTAGAGTTCTTCAACAGGGGCGTCGTGGGGGAAACGCCGGACGATTCTTTCGCCTCCCAAATCTTCGGGCATCTTGAGTGCCACCCGAACAGCCTTTCTGTCGGTTGCGGGAGGCTCGGGTAGGATCCTCGGGGCTCGCCACGATTTCCACTGTCGTCGTTTCTCAGCCAGTACAGCAGCTGCCTCGGCCTCTTCCAGAGCTCGCTTCTCCGCGGCCGCGGCGGCAGCAGCAGCCTCTTTCTTCTCTCGCGCACGCTCTCTATCAATGGCCAACGATCGTTCGTAAGCTGAATCTTGTTGATCACGCAGACTACGAGCCAGCTCCTGTGAAGCCCTTTCGGCCCGCACCCTATTCAAATCGGAGCCGTATTTTTCCATGGCGGCTTGCAGTTCTGACAAGTAAATCGAAGGAGGCATTGGGCCTACCAATCGTTTGACAATACCCATTCGAGTGCTACCTTCCTTAGGGGTCAAGCACACGAGGGCTGAAAAGGGATATTTTGTACAAGCATATTCAGTAGCTGCCTGGTATGCCTCTGAATCGAGAATGTTGCCTCCCCATAGTATCATGTTGTTGGCCGGGTCGTTGAGGAATTCAACAACCTCCGGGGCCAGTAGTGTGTTCTTGATGAATGATTCGGTGTCGTCATGCTCGGGAGACATGAACAGGACGAGGAGGAATTTAAGGTCCTTTTTGGCCAGGTCATGGGCCTGGGCTATGCCGCCCTCAAAGAGCGAGAGGTTATTCGATCCATATTCTTCATCAAATTCTCGCCTGAATCTAGCTGCTGCATCCCGGGGCATAAGCATCCGTCGACCACTTGGGCTTCGAAAGCCCGTAGCAATTCCAGCTGTAACAGTTCGCGGCCGTATGGAAGCAGGTAAGAATGCTAAGATGTATCCGATCGTGCGCAGGAGGGTTGAGGCAACCCGCCAACCCCAGCTAAACGGCGTGAGCAGGAGACCGATAAACCATGGTGTCCGATGGATCACGGGCGGCGAGGGCACAACCCGGGGAGCGGCGTCGGTTCGGTTTCGCCGGCTCGATCCAGATGATCGGTCTGGTGCCACCAAGAAGCTCTCTTGAAGATTTTCGTGGCGTGCGGTCGAGCGCGGAGCTTCCTGAGCTGCCATTGCCTCAGCAACTGGGTCGGCGGTCTCGCCATCGAAGAATTTGGTAATGGCGATCTAGGCATGGCCAGCGAAGGTTAACGACGACGCACGACATTCACCGAGATTAGGAGGAGGTCAAGAAGAGGTGTCCCAGAAATAGCAATGAAAATATATCATCTTACCTGCACATTCCATTGCGATCTTGTCAGCAGCGGGATGGCATCTTTTGCCTCTTGGTTTGTCAACTGCATATACTGCTGCAAGGCATCTTGCTGGCTTGGTGACAGCTGTCCCGTATCATCGGCGTTGTCGGCCATCTTTGGCGGGGAAACGACAGGAAACCGGAAGGATGAGGAATGAGATCAAGATGCCTGTGTGCTTTCCATGTGACCACGTTCTTCCTCTTGAACGGTTTGACCACGGATGGCTGGTGATTGTGTTTCGTTTGGAGCTTCCAAGTTGACGTCGATAAGGAATCTCGGAGCTGTCGCAGTATCATAATAGCGGGCTCCAGTTGGCTTATCGCTTGAGGTGTGCCTGCGTCAAAGCCGCATTACCTCATCGCTATAGCGGAGCCCAACAGCCTAAGCTCTCTTCAGTGATCCACAAGCACGTTGACGCTGGTGCGAGAAAGGATTACCTGGGGTGAAGGCTGTTTATAATCCCCATGGCTGATTGTATTTTTGCATTAGCCTGTAGAAAAGTTAGATGTTGGAAGTCTAAACAATGCTTTTACGCCAATTTACCCAGTTGCCAGGTCGTTCTGGAGTCAAGCGCAGCCTCTGTTCTCAAGTACTTACTGAACCATGTGCAACAGAGCTACTGTGCTTTAGTACCTACCTGATGGAATCCATAGAATCCTACAAGACTCCGGTACCGGCAAATGCATCATATGCGTCACTTGAGATTTGCAGTTTATCTTCCTCGCACCCGTTAATCCAGAACTTATGACCCTGATCTTTATGCGTTGAAAAGTAAATTGCCCGCCCCATTCTCAAGTCTTCCTTTACTTTGAAGGTGTGTTGACTCAAATCTTGTCGTCCGATACACAATATACCTACCCTGTAGCTAGGCGCCACGATACCATGGCAACACAACCTACCGCCTCGTCCGTTCTTGTTCGCCAAGCCTCTTCTTCATCAGATCTCGCAGCAGTAGTCGAATGCTTCAGAGAGTACACTACATGGCTAGACGAAGATTTGACTCACCAAAATTACACCGCCGAGCTAAACGGGTTGCCCGGGAAATATGCAGCGCCCACTGGGGCACTTCTCCTCGCTGTGGATGCAACAACAGACACGGTCCTTGGCTGCATTGCTCTGCGGCCTCTAAACCTTGAGTCTGTATATCTGGAATCGCAACCTGCAGGGCTACGCTACTGCGAACTCAAACGACTGTTTGTATATCCAGAAGCCCGTGGGAGACAGGTAGCCAGGACTCTGCTCGTAGAGGCAGTGAGATGTGCCCAGGCCGCGGGCTATGACGAGATGCTACTCGACACACTGTCAAAGATGACTGCCGCCATTAGCTTGTACAAGTCTGAAGGATTTGTGGAAACAGAGCCGTATAATTCGAGTCCGTTGAACGGCACTCTGTATTTCTCAAAGCCGTTGTCAAGGGTAGAGATAGATTCTTAGTACCTGTATTATATGCCACATACCTAGACCTACCTTAGAAGTTACTCAGTCTTAATCACTCTGTCCGCCTCCTATTCGGCCAACCTGCACTAAATAGAGTGCGAATTCTTATTGGATTGATTGCATGCGCCCAGGTACTGTACGCTCTTGTGGTACAGTAATAACAACACCACCACCAGTCCGTACCTCCTTGGGCTCCTATCTCGGCTCAACCCCGGCTAGCACCCGCATCTGGCTTCCACCATAGTTCCGAGATGGCGGCGTCTCCCCACTCCTCCAAAGACACCAACCCGATCAGCGGCGACGAGGCGCGGCTGCTCGTCACCAACTCTCGTGCGTATACTTTTTGCCTTGGCCGGGCTCGAGCCTGTTTTCTTTTTCGTCCATGGGCGCGACGCCGCCCCGATCAATTGAGCCATGGGAGACGATTGTTGCCATCCAGTATGTTGATAAACAAAACATAATCCGAGCCACCACAAGTCCTACTTCCTCCTCCTTGTCTCGTCTCCGTCTCCTCGTCCTTGCTCTTCCTTCACCGTTCATCCGCTTTTGCTGTCTCTGCTTCTCTCTCGCAACTCGTCCAAACACATCTGATCCCGTCGCCGACCTCTGCTCTTCCTTGCCGTGCTCTTTCCGACGCCCAAATCATAAGCTGATCCCGCCTCCAGAAGTCGTAGATCCGGCCCCGGGGACGGCACTCTTTTCGAGAAACACAATTGACCACCATGGCGACGTCGCGATATCAAACTGCCGAGATGCGGCGCCAGGTCGGCTCCCCAAGGCCCAAAACACGAGGTGGGTTTCAGCACCATATCATGGACCGATATCCAGACCAGACCAGACTGAACCAGGCTGACCGTCAACAGAAAACAAGGAGACGCTCTGCAGAAATGTTCTTATCTACGGTCATTGTCGCTATGAGGACCAAGGGTGTTCCTTTTCGCACGACCAGACCAAGGGGAATTCGCCCCAGCAAGACAAGTAGGTGTTGATTTACCCTTCATATGCTAAATATAAGAGCAACGAGTCCGAGTCCCCCCCCCATCTCGGTCGATGCTATACACACACGCGAGCACATGCTCTCTTGGTTCCTGGTTCATGCTCTATGGCTGTTGCTGACCTTGCTGCTCGTTATAGCTCGAAAAAGGCGCTGAATGTCGAGTCGCCATCTTTTACACCTTCACTTCTACAACCTATCAACAAGAAGCCTACATTTTCCTCACAAGCTGTCACCGCCCCATCTTTCACTCCGCGTGGCCTAGGAGGTAAGTCCGAAGCATTGTCAGTTCAAACACTTGATTTTTTGGGTGCTAACTGTATCTGATTCATAGCTGCCACGCCATCTACTTTACCAGACACCGAGGCACCCATGTTTAATCCTGCTTCTATACGGGAATTCACGCCCAGCTTCGATCTCAGCTCTTCCTCTGTACGACCTCCTCTCCCAGATGCCCCAACTCCTCCTCTCCCATATCCTTCCACCTTTGTCCCCGCAGGAGCTCATCCCATTCCAATTTCGATTCCACTAACGGCGGTGGCCAAGGCTGTATCAACAAATGGGACTTCACAAGATGGAACCGTCACATACGATCCGTTTGGGATGTCAAACCAAAACATGGCCACGACGCCATTCAACCCCTATGCTGAAGACCATAATGCCATGGCTGGCGCTCAGTCTACATATTTTCAAACGCAAAACGCTTTTGCTGCCCCATTACAACCATTGCAGCATCATCTTTACGCTCCCATTGGGCCATACCGAGAAGATCTGATGCCATACCACCGCCTCAGTCACGAGTTCTTCTTACCGGAGAAGCTGAGAGAGGAAATGCAAAAGAAGTCGGAAGCGGCCCTTCAAGTAATGCCTAATTCCCAGCTGCCACAGTTGGAGAACTACCACTCCTTGGTCGCCCTGGATACGACCCATCGCAAAAATGCAAACATATTTGGATACCCCAGCTGGGTGTACAAAGCCACTTCGTCCAAGAATGGCAATCTTTATTGTCTGAGGAGATTGGAAGGCTTTCGACTGACAAATGAGCATGCCATTCGATCCGTAAAGGAGTGGAAGCGGGTTGATAATGCCAACGTTGTCAGCATCCACGATGCCTTCACTACGAGGGCTTTCGGAGACAGTTCCCTCATTTTTGTGCAGGACTACCACCCGCTATCCAAGACGCTGGCTGAGGCACACCTCACGCCAACTGTGGCGGCAAGCGGCCGATTCCAGCCAAAGCCGCCCATTACCGAACAGGTTCTCTGGGGGTACATTTCCCAGATTGCCACGGCCCTCAAGTCGATACATGACAACAACCTCGCAGCGCGCTGTGTGGATGTTAGCAAGATTATTTTGACGGATAAGAACCGAATTCGCCTCAACGCGTGTTCCGTACTGGATGTAGTTCACTTTGACGTTAGACGGCCAGTCCAAGAACTGCAACAAGAAGATTTGTTGCATTTCGGCCGTACCCTACTTTGCCTTGCCACTGGCAACCTCCCCTTGCAGCTCACCAACTTGAATGCGGCCATGGAGCAGATGAGCAGGACCTATTCTGCAGAAATGAGGGATACCATTACGTGGCTGCTGACGCCAACTCCAGCCCCGGCACATAAGTCGATTGACGAGTTCATTCAAGGGATAGCGACCCATATTGTAGCGGCCTTTGACCAGAGCCAGCATAGGGCAGATGCTCTCAACTCTGAGCTATTCCGTGAACTGGAAAACGGAAGGATTGCCAGGCTCATGATGAAGCTTGGCACCGTCAATGAGCGGCAAGAGTTTGAAGGCGACCGAGCCTGGTCGGAAAACGGAGAGCGATACATGCTGAAGCTCTTCAGAGACTACGTCTTCCACCAGGTGGATAGCAATGGGAACCCTGTCATGGACATTGGACACATGATACGCTGCCTCAACAAGCTCGATGCCGGCGTTGACGAGAGAATCTGCCTGACCAGCAGAGATGAGCAGACCAGCTTTGTTGTCAGCTATAAAGAGCTGAAGAAGCAACTGGTAAATGCATTTAACGAATTGATAAAGGCGGCCAAGCCGGGCAGAACCTTTTAGGAGATGGAGCCTAGCTACGTCGCGTAGGAGAAGAGACGGATATGGGATGCGAGCAAACCATTGACGGTGTCCGGTGAGCCCTGTTGCTACGATGAGCTGAACCATAACCAAAGACAAGACCAGGACGCGGCTGCTCTGCGAGAGACCATGGCAAATGAGTCGATGAGAATTTGCGACAGAAAACGAAATGGATCACAACAATGTAGCTAGCAGCTTTTGCTGGCACTGAACGATTTTGAAATGTTATGTTTTGTTCTGGATAATGTGAGAAAGCATGGGAGGGGATAGAAGAGAGAATACAAGAGTGCAAGATGCAAGATGCAAGATGCAAGATGGAAGGGAAAGATGGAGGACAGAGGGGGAGAAACTGGAGAAGAGGGCATATCCACAGATACATAACACCAAAAAAAGCTATATACTTACTGCCAATCAATTTACATTACTATTCACAATACGCTGGCATCTGGTCACACGTAGGCTCGTGATGGGCACCCACAAGGTAGATTTTGGCAGTGATCAGCCTTATTTGTGCGGCACTGCGCATATCCTAGAAGGACTAATCGAGTCGTAACATGACCCTCTCATGCTCGTATCAAGACGTGCCAAACATGTCATGTTTTCCCTCTGTTCTGCTATATCCTCTTGAAGCCTCGAAAGGCGCCTCCAGCCCGAGATTATCGGAATCTCCGTTCTAGGTTGATGTACACATCTTCCCAAGTTCCCTCTCCTCTGGCGATGGAGTCCTGCCATCATCCGAATCTATCACCAGCCTGCCAGTCGTATGCGCCATAGCGATGCTGGCTCCCAAGTTTATGTTTTGTTTCCATCTTCTCGCGGACGGGGTATCTGATAGAAGCCGACCCTTTTTGATATTGTGACTTGTTTGTGTTTTTTCCCCTTCATTTATATCGTTTTTTTTATACTGCAGAATTATTGTTTCCAAGGTAGCATATCGTTGCTTTAATCTTCGTCTTCCTTTTGCTCTTTTTGACAGCGGGGGGCTTATCCGGTTCCTTCCCTTAATCCTCTTCAGGTTGAGCAAAGGGATTGGCGATTTCTTCGCTACCGTCGGCGGGGCTGATGAGGACGAGGAGTGTGCCGCGGACGACGACAAGGCCAAGGGGTCGGGATGATTCGTTGCCTTCTTCGTCTGTTGGGAGCGGTTGGGTTAGTTACAAGCCATGTCATCATGACAGCGAGTTATTGCTCCGTGGTAAATAGCTGTTGCAAGAATGGGCCATAGACAGAATTACTGACCTCGGAGGGTTTCCTGCACTTCGTCAAGGACGAGGTTCATGAGGGCATCGTAGCCTTTGAGAGTACCACGGACTGTTTCATTCCACACAAAGTCAGTCAGTCACCTGAAGCTTGGAATTCTGTCGCCCTTTTCTTTTTACCTTCGCGGCCGCCGTTAAACTTGACGGTAATCTCCTTGTCCATGTACTTGGCCAGGTCCAAAATGTTCTCCTTCTTGGGCCTCTCGCCCTGGGCAGCGGAAGCGCCTCCACGGCCACCACCGGCACCTCCTCCGCGGCCTCGATAGTTGCCTCGGTCACCGCCGCGGCCGCCTCTGTGCGAAGGTCTATCGGACATGATGGCTGCTGCGCATTGGCTTGCTGTTCCTCTGCGTTGTTTTCCCGGGGCGACAGGGGGAACGGATTGGTCGAGCTTTGGGGCGGAGAGCTTTTGCTATTGAAGCTTGCGGTGCGTGATGTGATGCTACATGATGCCTGGGATTTTGGCAAAGGCAGAGGTGGGGAGCAAGGGAGGAGGGGCTTGTGCCCGATTAGGACTAGGGTGGGACAAGTCACTATTTCTCAATTGAAGCTGTTTTTTACCTTTTATTCAATTCCATGCACAACACCAAAGATCCCAGACTACGGAGTACGACCTGTGCCGGGCGGTAAGTATAAAATTCGGGAGATAACTGTGTCCGGTGTATGCACATGTCCTTAATTGGTATTCCGTAGTGCAAGACCCCTCGGTTTGTGTGCATGGCAAGGTTAGGTACTTATTAGATTGACCAGTTACCTGCACATGCCCGTTCCGTGCAGCAGCAACAACACCAACAACAAGGATGCAATTTTGATGGGAACCTGTCCCGACACATGGAGCCGTTTCCCCCTTGTCTCCTTGTTCCTTCTCGGCAGCAGAGGGCCATCTGATAGGTACGGGCGGAGCTGTGTGTACATATTCCAGGGCACTTATATATAACACGTCCGTACCTAGTACTTGTTCGATTATAAGCATCGCCGAGATATGAAGCAGCTCACGTCAAGGATAGATCCCCGGTGTCCGCCCAACTTACTACCTGGTAGGATCGTATTAGTCGTAGTTACTGCACCAGGCGGTCCACTTTGGTTCGGCCGAGCCTGTTCCCTTTCTGCTCCTCAGTGCTTCTGAGGTGCAGCCGGTCTGAGGATCGAGTGCAAGCCGGTCGAAACACGTAGCATCGGCTAGGTATTATTAGCAGTCGCCTACAGTGGGTGAAGCACGAGCGATGCAAGCAACAGCAATAGGAAGTTGGCCAATTTACTCTGCATTAAAAGTAGGTGCCGCCAGCTAGCCAGTGCCTGTACTGACATGGAATCGGGCGGCAAGCACTCCGTCTGTACGAAGTTCTCCGTGGAGCCTAGTTGATTGCTTTTTTGACAAGGAGCGGTAACCAATGATTGATGCAAAATCTCTCTTGTCGGTAAACGATGGGTTGTCGCATTAAGGGTGGTTATCTTCCGATAAAGTTGTTGCAGAAAAGCTTCCGGAGGACCAGCATCTGCTCCGTTCCAGTTACTTAGTTCCACGTCGGCTGTGCATGCTCTCATCATTGCTTGGCTTGGCCGACATCGACATGGGACCTCGATTTGCCACCTACTTAGAGTAGAAGTGGTGCGTGTGCGTGTGCGTGCGTCGTAACAGAGGTTGGAGTAATGCGAGCATTGCGAGGGATCGTCTTGTATCTATGAGTACCAAGGTAGGTGGATGGATGTTTTGTAACTTGCACTGTTCCACTGTGACTGATCCGTCATATGTGTAAGAACCTTGGTGGTTCATCGCGCCCCATGCCGGAATGTGGGAGACTTTGCCATTGCTACCTCATCATGGTGTTGTGGTGTGATTCAGAGTCGAGTTTCTGCAGCTAGGGAATCCGGGTATGCTGAGATGTGTGTGCCCAGCTCCTACTCCTCCTACCAGGTAGTACCATAGCCTTGGAAGTGTACTCGTAGGTAGGAATCGCGGCAGTCGACGGCATCAGAATGCATGTATCGTCCTGCAGCTGAGTGACATTAGCATGAGTGACAAAGCAGATTGACAAAATAAACCACCTGGGCATCCATGATGAGATCCTTGTAAAGCCACGGATGACTGAGCTAGAGATCAATGGATGTCGTATTACTGCAGCATCTACTGCATCTGGTAACAGCTTAGGTTATTAGTAACCCTGGAGGTTTAGGTGCTTCATATTACAGGTACTAGTACCTGTAGGCTGTAGCCTTAACTGCTCCAGGGCGGTATACGGAAAATTCGCACTTTCTTCCCCTGCTAAGACATTCAGCCAAGGGATGGAAAAGAAAGAACCTGAAAGCGAAAGGGGCTTGCTTTCCTTTCCGCTCTTTCCCATTCCTTGCTCAGCCGGAGCTTACGCCAGATGTCGGTTGACAAGCTGCAGAAGCCGCGGCCGCACAACCTTCCTTCTCCGTCAGAGCCGCATCCTGGCCTACCAGGTACTATACTCGTAGTAGGTACAGTAGGCTGGGAAGCTACCAGGCAAGGCCGGGCATGTCAACCTGGAAGGCAAGGCAAGAACGAGCACAGGACAACAAAAGCTTGGACCAGGAAATGTATTTAGGCCTGAAGATGTAGAAACTCGACTGAACTTGTGCCGCTGCTTGCATCACCACCGTAGTCGTGCAGTTATCAGAAGCAACAGGCAAATCATATGCCTGCCATTCGTCCGCCGTCGTTCCTCGCATGCATTGAATCTCTCCATCTTCTACGAAGGATCCTCTCTGTGGCAGCAAAGAAGCGGCAGCCCATAGTTGCTCGTACATACGAGTATCTAGTCGGCCCATGGATTCCGGTCTCCTCTCCATGCCCAGAAGCGAGGCTTCGGAATTTCCTCTGCTGCAGCGGTGCGGAACCCAACGATCTGCGGAGTACAGGTGGCGGACCAGATTGGGCGACGAGAATCCAGCGATACGGCTGGCATCCGAGCAAGATGGAGAGGGCGTGTACCAGAGAGCGTCTTTCATCAAGGGGGGTCCCAGACGAGGAGGAGAAAAGAAGAGAGTAGAAGGAGAGGAAGAAGACACAGAGACGGAGGAGGGGGGAGGGGTACGAATACGCTGTGGTGAATCCCGGGAGACGGCTTGGAGCCTCTCCAACAAGGGCTGGATGAGAAAAGCGGCAGATGGGAGACTGAGCCGGGAGAGATGCTGAGACCGGGATGGAGTCGACATGCAGCCGGTTCGCTGGCTATCGGCAGTGCAGAGGCCAATCGACGTCTGTCCGCGTTGGGCTCTTGACTTGGGCTCCCTGTCTGCTCACTCACTCGACTTGACACGCGGTTTGCTTGCTTCTGATGCATGACAATTGCACCAGTGGGCAGATATGCATACACCATCACGACGCATTGCATTGTCAGTCAATTGTTACGAGTTCTTTGCACCGGACAGCCTACGAGGACCGGTAGGCATATCATATATGTGGACATCCTTACGACACGGTGTTGACGGTATACCAACCAGCTGCTGCTCGTATGGAGCGTCCCCTTTGCATTCACAGACGGCCATGGGATGGGTGGTGTCTCTTGGGGCTTTTTGCTAGTTGTCGGTCTCCAACTCGGCCCTCGAGATGTTACACAAGGACGAACCAAAGTCCTATGGCTGCCTAGGCGAAGCTGCCCGCTGCTGCCACACGGCGTCGCCTCCTTGCTACTGCATTGCATACAGTAGTAGGCGATGCCAACAAGAAAACACACGCACACGTCACAATCAAACACACCTTGACTCTCGCTCACTCACACGCACATACACACCTTGGTTTTGGGTCGTAATAGCCTCGACTCGGGTCTCTGGTGTGTACTAGGTCTAGTGCTTGTACGAGTACCAACCAAATGCAATGCTCGTACATTAGCACTGTCGTCGTTAACTGCGGGCCTGGCCGTGCTTTGACCTGGTCGACCTGAACCTGAGCTACCAGCTAGTCTCACAGCTAGCACGCCGAGCTGTCCTGGGTATTTGGTTTCAATCTCTGCTGCTGGCGTTAGCTTGAGGGTCTCGCTGACTTGCAGGCAGGGAACAGGATTGCCGTAACGCGCCCACTTTGCGGAAATCTACTGGAACTCTGGGGGCACAGCAGGGCCGCCCGGTCCGCTTGACGATCACTCCTCGCCATGCTCTAGCCGGCACTTAACGTTAAGGCTTGGGTTACCTTGGCCGTCCGGAGCTCGAGTCGATAGCGGAGCAGCAATTGCTCCGTTCCTTGCTGCTTGGGTACGAGCACATGCTGCGAGCAAACAAGAAGTCGACCGCTGGTTGGTGGCGTTTGGCGTCACAATGGTCCAGCGCCGCCTACGGAGCTGCTACCAGGTATCTACAAGGAACATGAACAGAATATGTGACGAGTTGCGCGCAATGCACCCCCTATTATTCATGCCTTGGCGCATGCGGCAGAGTGTGAGAAGCCCGGCCGGTGTCTCCATGGCTGTTTGCGTCTTGGTTCATTTCTTACATATGACTTCTTCCAGGGACCAGACACACACCGTCAGCTAAAAGAAAAGAGAAACAAAAAGGGCAAAATGAAAGAAAGAGCAAAAAAATCGCCGAAGGGCATACAAGGAGGCAAGCGATCACACAGTAAGCGAGTACGGATTCTCTCTACAAATCGATAGAGCACAAGCACGAGTAAGGATGTCCCCTTGTTGATGCGCGCATCCGGTAAAACGCCTACATGACAGCGGTGTTGTGCCAATGGAACTCGCTTGTCTTGGACACGGAACCAGGGCTGTCTGTCTGGCCGCAGGGCTCAATCTCTCTGGTCTCGCCGCTGATTTGGGGTTTCCAGCTAATACTTATGCCATTCGACCATTACAACTTCGAACCCATGCTGTGTCTCTCATCGGCCCAGGCATTGTTCATCGCTTGTCTCTGACCCAAGGACCTTGACGGCTTGGGACGGCTTGGGTCTGCCTGTGCCTAAACGGAACATCAGGCCAATGCCCAGGTCGCTCGCTTCTCGCTCTCAAGAATCGTTCGCCTCTCCATTAGCCCCATGCTGGATACCGACAAGCACCTCGACCTCCATCTTCGTCCGAGCTGCTGTCCTCTCCAATCGAAGCCCACCCCTGCCCGGTCCTGCCAGACCCTGTCAATCGTGCTGCTACACCACGCACTATCCACGCTGCTGCCCTGCCGCGCCCTACCTTCTGCCATGTCTTGCCTTTTGCCATGCTCTAGCCATCGCGATGAGACAGGTCATTATCCCCCCCTTTCACCCCCTTCCCCTCTCCTCTTCTTTCCGCCCGGGAAGTTTTTTTTCCATCATGGCCTTCCCGCCTCTCCGCTACTGATTACGTAGGATTGTTTCTTTGTTCTGGCACCAAAGACAGCCGGGAGTAGGCCGTTGCTGGCGCTCCATTCTCATCGTTTAGAACGATGGCATCAACATCACGAGTTTGATCAAACAGCCATCTAGGGTGGATTTTCGGAACGCTTCCTTCCCCGCCCATCTCCTCTTGTTCTAATCTGCATCAATGCCAATGCCAATGCAATGCGCTGTGCGTCTCTTGCCTCCCATCTTCTTCTCTTGGCCATCCTGCAAGCCACATTGACCATCTCCCTTGCTCGACATTGTTATCCTCTTTGTGGTTAATGCCACCCCCCTTGCTTCCGCCTGCTTGTACTTGGACCCTTTTGTCGAAACATACATGTACATGCTCGTACATGTTGCACTACGTGCTTCACACTTGTACACCTCTTGCCCAGGCACCTGCTAGCATGGTATCACGCTTGTACTCCATACAAGTTTACCGACCTGCAGACCGGTCTGTACTAGATGATGCACACCTCTAGCTAGCCATTACACGCACTTCAGGTCGAACTCTTGTACGCACACATAACTTGTATATGCCCGCATGTAAGGTGTACATGTATAGTACAGACGATACACCGGGCATGGAATCCTTCCTGCTGAAGCTATTCCTAGCTTGAGCGTACTACTGCGACCGCTACCTCTGGCCATTGTTCATGATACGAACGAGCACCAGAAGCAGCCCGTCCTTTTTCTTTCTCTATTTCTCTTGACGGACGCCCCCTCCCCTAGCTACCGCCCGTCGATAGACCCACAGTCATCTGGGCGAGCGGGCAATCCCATCCGACAAAGCTGCTGCCACGCCGCATATGATGGTCGACTACCTTGTCAAGGATTTATTCCATTTTCCTTTCCTACAATAACCCAGACCATTCCGCCCTCCCCCCTTCTCGATTTGCTCATCCCATTCTTGTTCGATCCATTGGCCGTACCAAGGCGCATGCGGCGTTTTGTTTGAGGGCCCTTTGCTCTGTTCCCTGGGTTTCTTTACCCATCACCCCTTACACGAACGCAAGGCAATCACGCAAGTGTTCATTGGGCTTTTTGCTTTTTGCTTTTTGCTTGATTATTTCCTCCCTGCTTGTCGGCCGACCTTTGTTTGCCCCGGATCTCCGCTCTCTCCGCCATCCCGTAGCCGCTCTCCGCCAAGCCCCAAGGCAGTGATGGCCACCATGGCATATGCTCCGGAGCATGAACCCCACAAACGGAAACGAGACCTCGAGGATACCGGTAGCCACCCCGCTCACCATCGTCAGCCGAGCATTTACGAACCCGGCCGCATGCAGGCATCGCCTTCTCTAGCTTCGAGTACGTTGTAATTCCTCTCTTCGGCTTAAAGGTTGAGAACGGTTCAATGTTAACATAATCTAGTGGCCCCTGAGTCCATCGTCAACTTTGTGACAAGGCCCGACGCCCCGCTGCTGTCCTTTTTGCCAGGCGATGTCGACACCTTTAACGATATTATCTACCTCATTGGCGATTATGAAAGTAGGTTTGCATATAAGCGGGCCATGGCTCTTTCGTTGCTTCATAGAATGGTGAAGATGTAATGCTGATTCGATTGAATGTAGGTGTTTTGGACCGGAAGGAAAGCATGGCAGCGAATCTCGGGGCCAAACTGACGGGTCCCCGGTTCCTCCGCGGCCTCGAAAGGTTCTTTGAAGGCCCAATCAAAATCCTCTCGGCGAATCCTTATCATCAGATTACCTGGCTGGAGATTGTCACATTTGCCAAGACGAATCCAGAAGCCTTCACGGTCATCCCACAACCCAACGGTTCACGATGTTGTCGCTTCGTGTATAATGGAATAACGGCTGAGATTATAGAGGATGATTGGCGCCTGATATCTTCTGGAGCACTGGATAGATTCCCGTTGGAACACACCTTTGAAGAGGACGAGGCGGCCGAGCTGGCGACGCTCGAAATTCTCGAGCAAAGAGCCTCATATCTGCACAGAAAGGCGGACGAGCTTGCGGCCAGAGCTCGCATCCTCCACCAAAGGCTTGAGCTCCGTACCCGTGATGTCGCCCGAAGGCAGCAGTTTCTTGAAGTTGGTGCCAGTTCCAGCTTAGCTTCCGGTTCCAGCTCCGGTTCAAGCTCCAGCGCCGGCCCCAGCTCCAGCTTTCATGCCATCAACCACCCACCGCGCCCCGTCATTACGAATCCTAGCGGCGAGCCGTACGATATCCATTCAGACCTTCTCCACCAGTTCACCATTGCCGCGATGCAAAACAGCCCACCTCAGGGCCCGCCCCCGGGGTACCAGGCACAACCCGGATCGCCCAATGGCGCGCCTGTTGCCGGTCAAGGCCCGCTGGCCCCGCCGGCCTTGGAAGCACCGCCGTATCACCCGCCCCCGGCAAATGTCTATCCGGCGGTCGAGACGGCAGCCCCCGCTCCGACCCCAGTACCGGCCCCGGCCCCTATTGCGGCGCCAGCTCTGACTGCGGCCTCCAACTCGAGATCGATTGCGAACCTAGCACTCAGCCAAGTGGTACTCCCCGGCGACCCCGCCACGGAGGTGCACCGGCCCCTTGTACTGCAAAAGACAGACACGCTCAACAAGGGAGATATTATTTTCCCCCCTTGCGACCGATGCCGGCGCCTCCGTCTGCAGTGTGTCAAGCACTTGACGGCCTGCCGGGGCTGCACTAAGAAACACGCGAGGTGCAACTGGAGGAACGTCACTGACGACGAAGCCGCAGCAGTAAAGGAGGAGCTACAGGCGATATATAATGAAGCACAGAAGCAAGCGACTGCAGCCGCATCAGCAAAGAAAGCTGGAAAGGCACCAGCGTCAGCGCCGCAGTCCGAGGCAGGGAGCAGCTCTCGGCCGGCCAGCGGCTCTGGAGCGGGCAGCAGTATGGATCAGGTCCACATGCCCGTACCGGGTCCATCAGCAGCGCCGGCACCGATGCTGGCACCACCGCTGGCACCGGCTCCCGCTGCCGAGCTGCCGCGGAGGCTGCTGCCCACCACTCGGCTCACCAGGATCGAGCCGGCTCCCCCTACTGTGCCTAGGAATCCTCCACGGACGGGGCAGCTCGCTGCCATTTTGTCTCCCCCCGACTATGAGCCTCGGCCGTTTGGATCGCTACCACCGCTAGCCCCACGATGAAATACGGCGGTGAAGAATGGGTGGCTACGGCTTGATAATACGTACGGTTAGTACAATAGTGATTACTAGTTTGCTTTTTATGGAATATGATTGGGAAAAGTTTGCCACATTTTGACGGATTGGGATGGATATCGGGATGCGCATATGCTGGGATTATGAATAGGATTGGGTCTGGGTAGACGGCCCTTGGCGAGCTAATGAGAATACGACTATCTTTTATCTTTTATCTTTATTCAGTTCCCTCTATCTAATAAAATCAATAAAATATCCTCCAAGTGGCCCAGAGATTACTTAGATAGCAATGGATCCCAAGTACGGAGTACATGACAGATGGCGAGGAACGAAAGCAACAAGTACTAACGGTACGTACCGCTTGGGCCGGCCACTTGGGGTAACTTCGGCGCTCGCTTTAGCTGCAGGGCGCCACTTCGGCTCGTTGCTGAGCTAAAACAAAACAAAAAAACATGACAGGACAAGAAGGTTAAAAAAAAAAAAAAGCCGGAGCCGCAAAAAAAGTCAAGAGGCAATAAACGCATCATTCTTCGGCTTTAGATTCACTGTTGCCTCATTCCCCCCTCTCATTCACGAAGCTTTTGCCCACAGTCACCGTTAATCCTCATTCTACTCCTTCTCTCTCCCTTTTCGATACGCTCTGGGCGAATAACTATTTCTACCGTTTCGCTACTCGTTCTCTCCGTCCAATCAACTTTTGCCGCATTCTTTAATGAACCCCACCGCGGTATATCGAGGTTAACCGACTCATTTTTTGCGCATCGCCGATTTTGACTTCCCATACCAAATTAAAGCTGCGATAAGAAGGCAAAGCAAAGAATTGAATCGAGCCGAATCGAGAAGAGAACAAAAACCCTCTTAAACGAAACCAAAAACCTACTTTCCTGGCCATGGCGCAGCAGGGGCCTGCGGCTGTTGCTCCGTATCTGCCAGGGCGAGACGATGGACGGCCGTTCCAGCACTCGCACGCTTCGGCTGAGCATGCGGCGCTGGTGCAGTCGAGAGAGACGGGCGATGTGCTGCCGGATGACAGTCCTAGAGGGCAGGTCAAGGCTTTGCCGTTTGCGAAGTCATGGGTACATTTCATGGCCGGAGGGTATGTTTGTGTTGTTTCTCCGTGCTCGGATCTATGAAGAAGAGCGAAGTAGAGGAAAAGATGCTAATGCTAGGGTTCTAGAGTTGGCGGCATGACGGCCGCGGCAGTCACGGCACCGCTCGATGTCCTCAAGACGAGGCTACAGTCCGACTTTTACCAGGCGCAGATTCGCGCATCCAGAGAGGCCCAGGCGCAAGCTTTGCAGAGACTGAACCCTGTGCGTAGCGCAATGCACCACCTCTCTGAAACGCTGCAGATCCTGGGCTCGGTGTACAGGACGGAGGGACCGCGCGCATTGTTCAAGGGCCTGGGACCGAACCTGGTGGGCGTCATTCCTGCGAGGAGCATCAACTTTTACGTGTACGGGAACGGCAAGAGGCTCATGGCCGACTACTGGAACAGGGGCGAGGAGGCCCCGTGGGTGCATCTCCTGGCCGGTGTCACGGCGGGCGTGGCGACGAGCACCGCGACGAACCCGATTTGGATGGTCAAGACGAGGCTGCAGCTGGACAAGAACGTCTCCGAGCGCAGTGGCGGAGCGACGCAGCGGCTGTATCGCAACAGCTGGGATTGTGTCAAGCAGGTTGTGCGCGACGAGGGCGTCAGGGGGCTGTACAAGGGCATGAGCGCGAGCTACCTGGGCGTGGTCGAGTCGACGATGCAGTGGATGCTGTACGAGCAGCTCAAGGCCTATCTCGCCCGGAGAGAGTCTGCGATTCAGGCCAGTGGCAGGGAGAAGAACTGGTGGGACAAGACGGTGGATGTCCTTGGCAACGGCGGAGCTGCTGGAGGTGCAAAGCTGGTTGCTGCCGTCATTGCCTATCCCCACGAGGTAAATTTTTTTTGTTACTACAAGCTTGAGAAGAAGAATGCAGACTGATCATATCCTACTAAGGTTGCGCGAACCCGTCTTCGACAGGCTCCCATGGGAGACGGCAAGCTCAAGTACACTGGCCTGATACAGTGCTTCAAGCTCGTCTGGAAGGAAGAAGGCCTCATGGGTCTCTACGGCGGCCTGACACCTCACCTCATGCGCACGGTTCCCAGCGCGGCAATGATGTTTGCCATGTACGAGGTCATCTTGCGCTTCTTCCACACGCCGGCCTAAGGTCTGGTAGTTTATGAAAAAGGCGAAGAGGACGACGGGAATGTACGATAACGCAGCTGAACCAAAAAAAAAAATCGAAAGAGAACACTGAAGGGACACACACGCACGCACACGCACGCACATACGATCCAAAAGCGGCAGATACTTGTCATTTACACATATACTGTACATTATGCCTACTTCAAACGGGAAACAAGAGACGATAGAGGTGGTACAACCCGGGGGAAATCTGGGTTAAATCCAAGGCGTTTTGGGGGCAGGGAATTGGCTTCCATTTTACATGACCAAGGCACGAATGAACGGCAAGGGAACAAACAAGCTATAAGGCTGAAAAGGGGAAAAGGAAAAAAAAACATAAGCAAGAGGAAAGAAACACTCCACTGGGAAATTGGAGGCATTAAGGGGATGGACTCTACTCTTTGCGATACCTCAAAATGTTATATGGCGATGGCATTGATGCTGTGCTCTAGGTATCTATATCTAGGGGGTGGCTATTAATTATAGCAAGCAGTAGGAACTGAAATCGCCAATGAGGTTCAATACAATACATATTACAGCATCAATTATAGCATCTGTCTGTTATACTTATACTCGTTACTTCGTATTCGGAATTCTCAACGCAACTCTCGAGTTCGAAGCCGTATTTGTCCCATGTCCATACACTAAGCAATAGCTGTTGACGATCCATGGTAACCCCCCGATATTATGACTGCATCTCAAGGCAACCGCGAAGTGTTGATGGCCGCGGTCAAAAGAAACATGACTGGCAGGAGCAGCCATGTTGGAGCTTATATGACCTACAGCTCGTTGCTGCCCTTCCATGACTCCCAATAACTTGACAAAACAACATCAACACCCCCAGGGTATATTCTCTTCTTCTTCTTCTTCTTATAATTGATACAATTTGATACGCACTCATATCGACGACTAGCACAAGTAAAGAATCGCCATGGATAATGATAATGAGTAGCAGCATATCAGGCTCGTCCCTCAGTGCGGCATCTGCGGAGACCGCATCGAGGCCAATGAGATGGCCGTGGCTCGTACGTCTTTACTCTCCTCTCCTCTCCTCTCCTCTTCTCTTAAGCCTACCTTCAAGCTCGTCCTCGTCCTCTATTTCAACATGTTCATCGTAACCAACGTCTTTCTCTTCTAGTCTATCGCTGTCACAGCAATCCACATTCATATTGCGTCTCACGTCCGTTCCGCTTCCACAGCCGAGGCCTGTTGGTCACCTTTGTCGTCGCCCACAACACTCTTGAAAACACCCTCTGCAAGCCCTATAACTGCGGTGCGTGCGCTGCCTCGCTGGAAGCCGCTGCAGTGCACCACGGATGCTATGGATTCTTCACGCACCGGTGCCTTATTGACGACACACAGGTCCTGCTCCGGCGGCTCCTTGTCTTGGCCTTGTGGAAAAGGCCCTGGAAGGAGGCACAGCCGTTGTTTTTGCCCAACAGCAATGACAGCCGGTCGCTCGATGTGGCGGCCAATATGTATGGACTTCCGCAGCTGTCCAGGCTGCCGGTCGACCTTCTCAAGATAATCCACGGCCACTCGGCGGGCGCTTTGTTCTGGAGGAGCATCTCAGTGCTACGAGCGACCGTGTGTATCTCAAACATGGGAGACGAGTCACAGCAGTCAGAGGTCGTGGCGCTGCGGCATGTCGTTTCCTGGAAGCGAGGCGGGAAGCTTGACAAGAGCGACTCCCAGACGCCCCTTATAATCAGGCTGACGATAGATTCCGATGGTATCAGTAGAGTTGAGCGCCTTGTCGACTATCCACGATACTGGCGAAAAAACTACAGGTACACTGCGCACATTGTTGGAAGCGGCAAGGACGTTGAAGGGGTGCAAGTAGAGCTCGTGGTAAGTACGTCTTTTCCCCACCATTCTCCAGTCAAACCACCGTGTCTTATATTTTTGCTTTTCTTAGAATGGTCTTTTACGCCTCAAACTTCTTCCCAATGGCTGGGTCCCCCATATATGGAATACTCCTGTTCCGCCTCCCTTGTCCCGATGCAACTTGTCCCCCAATAAGCCTTCCGCTACTTGGCCACGTCTATTTTATCTTGAGTCAGAGAGCATGCGAGGTATAACCTTCTTCTACACCCTGGGGCGTCTCTGTGACATACATATCCACTATCAAGAACAAACGTCTGCTCGTTCGACGCATCGCCGAATGAAACGCGCTGCCCAGAGCAATGCTATATGGCTCTACCTGCCTATTCCGCCGGGAGATCAGTTGACCGTTGTAGGCTTGCGTCAACAGCCCGGTTTGCCTTTTTGCTACCTTTTTCAGTTGAAAAAGTCCGGCGACGTCATCATAGGGCCTCACGGGAACTCGTTCTTTAAAGACAGTTGTCTGGGCGCAGGTACTTCCCTTGGCTTCATCTACGGTGAGCCGAATCGAGCGGACTTCATGCCGCAGCAAGTTGAGCTCATTGGCGCATACTGCCGCCCAGAATCACAGCCCACGCCGGAGTGGTGGTCACCGCACGTTTTCCCCCTAGACAGATATGAAGCCCCCCTGGACAGATTTGGGGCCAATTTCCTCAGCCAAGATTCTTTCTTGCAGGCAGAATACTTCTCTTGGGCGCCGCTGGACGACGTTGTGTCAGCTCTTGTTTTCCGCGACCAAATCACGGGATGCTGCAAAGGCATCTTATTCTTCTACCGCAACGGAGGATGCCGGGCCATTGGGGAATGCCGGCTTCATGTCGACCCAGCACAGACAGTGCCCGAGCCAAGCCAGCTCTGCTACCAGATGGAGTCCCATCCCGCGAAATATAGCCCAGACCTCTCAGTATATAGAGCGCGGGTGACAGTCCAGCCTAGTTCGCAGCATGAACGCGTGCACCTTCAACATACGCACGGGAAGATTGTCGATGAGGGATGGGTAGTGCATACGGAATGGAAGTGCTACCTAATGGTAGGATACGTCAAGTTTTGGGTTACGAACGAGTTTTTCATCATTTATGAGCATCACGGGACAACCATACATGGGGATGGCAGCACAAAACTAGAGACGCTTAGCACTCCATTTGACATTCGAAAAAAAAAAAAAAAAAACTATATAATAATAGCAGTAAGAAACGACAGAAACGAATAATACCCCTCCCAAACAAAGCTGAGCAGACCGAACCACAAGCAAGTTTCCCAATGATAGCCACGTTTGTCGTATCGCGCCGTTGAAAATGTTTTTGTTTTTCCCACGTCCAATGAGCAGAATGTTTTCAAAAGTCCAACGAAAAAAAACCCTCCCTTCCTCTCGGTCTCTAGGACTCTCAACCATGCCCTTCTCGTAGGAAAGCCATAGACAGCCAAAAAAAGACGAGGAACTCCCTATAGAAACAAGGAAAAGAAAAAGAAAAGAAAGGTTTGCTCCTGTTTCTCCAACTTTGATACTCCGTTATCCATGCCCATCAAGATCAGCAGCCCATCCCAATCATGCAAACATTACAAAGAAAGAGAGAAAACACACGCGAGCACACACATACACACAAACAACAAACACCACCAGCGATGAAAAAAAAAAGCAACCACAAAATAAGCAACGAAAAGCACAAATCCCTTCATGACCATGCAACAAATTGTGTCCATTGTCCATTGTCCATTTGTCCGGGGAGCAAAGCAGCTGAAACAACCCACCATAAGAGCATAGGTAACAACAACTCCTGTTTGACAGACCGGTTTTATAATAAAAAATAAAAGTGGTATGAAGCATTTGCATGCCGTGGACGCTTCTATGAAGACGCTGGGGGGTTAGAATGGCCGCAATAAGCAGCAGGCCATCAACGGGATTGGGTACCCAAGAGAAGAAGCAGAAAAGAAAAGAAAAAACAGACAGGGGTAATAAAGACATAGGGAACATGAAAATATCAAACTTGAAGCCATCGCAGTAAAATGTTTTTCCCAAATTCCAAATCCAAACACTCAGCGCTGATGAAAAGAAAAGAAAACACCAAACGAGTATTAAAAATAACAGCCATGCCGTATTTTTTTTGCACCTTTTCTGTCTCTCCGATTTTTTTCTTTGGCCAAAGAAAGAAAGGGGGAATCAAAAATCAAGAGTACAAAAAATCGGGTTTTTGTAGTCCATTTCCCAGAACGAAGCGAATTCGAAAAATAGAAAGAGAGGAGAAAAGCAGTGGACACGCAAGACGAGAGGATTTCTCGTTGGTGCCCTTCAAACGTATTAGGAAAAGAAAAGATGTAAGGGGGAATCAATCAGAGAAGAGAAGGGGGGGAAAGGGTCAAAAAGGTATCAATCCCAAATGAAGCCAACGCCGTTGTCCGCTCCTTCTCTTGTCCCATCTCTCTATCTGAAGATGAGAAAAAAGCCGTAGTTGATAGGGGACGCGATGCGACCAAAAGAGCCCAGATGGTATATGGTAAAATAAAGGAAAAAAAGGAATTTCTCGTTGCGCCCCTCTCTGTCCGTAAACCCTGATGCTAGTTGAACTTTATCGTTGTATCCAAATGATGCCCCTGTGCCTTGGAGGAACCCGAAAATGAAAGCGAGAAACAAGAAGAACAAGATGATTGAGAAGAAAAAAAAGAGAAGAAAAAAAAGGGAGGGGTAGAATTAGAAACTAATGGGGGAACAGGCGTTGTTGTTGCTGCTGATATCCCTGCATTAAGCAAAGGGAGTATGAGGCTTCGCCATGTTGATGCCGTTCTTATAAAATGGTGCTCTTTGGAAATTAGAGCCAGCACTAGAGCCATTGATAGGTGTCCCAGAGTTGCTGCCGCGGCTGTTGGGGGTATACGAGGTATAGGTCCGGTTGCCAAAGTTGGTCGGTTTAGGCAGGCCAGGGGGAGGGCCACTGGCCGCCGTAAAGCCATTGGCTGTGGACGGGGTTATTCCGTTGACAGGAGGCAGGTTTCCATGAGGAGCCTGCGAGGGAGGAGAGCGAACGCCAAGAGGATTCTTGGAGAAGCTCAGGCGGATGCCACCCTTGACGCTGTTGTGTAAGCACCATCCATACAGCTGGCTCAGTGCCTTGGTGGCATGGCCAATGTCTTCAAACTCGACAAAGCACATGGGGCCGTTCTGCTTGGTTCTGAAGCACAACCTCTTGTAACCCCGTACGGGGGAGAACAAGGCCTTGAGCTCCTCCTCGGACGTGTCAATGGGCAGGTTGCCAACGTAGAGGGTATTGCAGGGGGGATTTTGATCCGCAGGGTTGACGGGAGGAAAATTGGGCTTTCCATACGGCAGCTGTTGCTGCTGCTGCTTATCCTGCTTGTCTTGCTGGGGTTGCGCTCGTGGCTGCTGCTGCTGCTTGTTATGCTGCGGCAGCGACTGCTGTTGTGGGTTTTGCTGCGGCAGTTGAGAAAGTTGATGACGCTGCTGTGACTGCAGCTGTTGCTGTTGCTGTTGTTGTTGCAGCTGTTGTCCAAGGCTCATATAGTTGCCGTTGCCGTTGCCGCTGCCGTTAACGTGAGCCAGAACCCCAAGGTACGATGCCGGCATTGGCGAGGGGGTAGAAGAGGCGCCCGAGTTGAGAGCCAGGTTTGCCATTGCTTGGCTGATCGGGTCTTGAGGGGTAGTGCCTCTCCGCTGGGCAGGGGTGGCCTTACCCGCGTAGGCAAATGAATCCCTAAGGAGCTCCCCATCGTCATCATCGCCAAGCTCATCATTGATGAGGTGCTTTCCCAGTCGTCCTGACGCCTCGTTGGCGAGATGGTTGCCAATAGGCGAATGTGCGTTAAAGATACTCTTGTAGTGGCTGCCGGCTTTTGTGTCTGGAGCAGCAAGGTCCTGATGAGGAGGAGCAGCTGGGAAGAAGCGACCGGCCTTGGATGTCGGCGACATTGCGTCACGGGGCGGAAAGCCGTTGCCGATAGGAGCCGGCTGTGGACGATAGACTGGCGCCGTAAAGATATCCGCGCTGGCATTGGGTGCTCCGTTTGGCATGGTGAATGGCGCACTGACGGGCGATCCGTAGTCGGGCGATCCGTAGTCGGGCGATCCATAGTCGGGCGAGGGCAAGATGCTAACCATCAACTTGGCGCGACCGTTGGCGCGGCCGTCGAGCATGTTTCGGACTTCAGTCGCGCCATGCATACTCCGAAAGACCACCACAGCCGAGCGGTAGTGGACGCCCTCATAGTTGTCGGAGCCCATAAACTCGATTTTGACGAGCTCCTGAGAGAAGACGAGCATGAGACGCAGATCGGCTTCGGAGGTTGTGGCCGGCAGGCATCGGATCAGCACACGCACCGGCGTCGGAGCAACGGGCGGCTCATAGTCAAAGAAGGATGCGGCGCCCACGTCGCTGGGGTGATGAGGGGCCTGGGCATGGCGAAAGGGAATCCTCTGCGGCGGTGACATCTGAGTCGCGAAAGATGCGCTGCGGGACGACGGCCCAGGAAAAGAAGAATGAGATGCAGCAAAGTTCAGCTCGGCGCCTCGGTCATAGTCGATTGGGTTAGGCATTTCATCGAGAGGCGACGGGGACCAGATGCCCTGGTGAGGCACCCAGGTGGCCGTGGAAGGCGGTAGTATTGTCATTGGCGTCGAGTGTTTCCTGCTGTGATCGCCGTTCATAACCAAGAGCGCGCGGTGACGATGGGCGACGGGCGATGACGATAACGAAAGAGGGTTGTAAGACCGAGTAATGAATGATGAGGCGTATAGTAGCCAAGGAGACAGAGAGTGTGTGGGTGTGAGGTTGCGAGAGAGAGATGGAGTCGGCGAAAGATTGTTAAGATACTAGGTATGATGTGATGAATAATGCTGTCGCGGTTTGAACAACACGGCTCGGTAGTGCGGTGATGATGGCGAGAGCACGGAGGTGGTATCGAGGGCGCTCCGAGAGTTAGGGCAGAGGAGGATTATATAGTCTCGATAATATGCTCGATAATGCGCACGAGAATCCAAAATGCTGTCGGCGGCGCGCGGAAGGTTCGATCGAGGATATACTTTGAGGCGAATTGAGTGGACTGCGCTTCAAATGCGATGCGCCCGGGGAAATGCAGATAGATAGCAGCGGATGGAGACGTGGCGCGGCACAAGATGCGAAAGAAAATGTCGCGAGAGAAGTTTGTCGGCGAGTGGAAGCGGCGAGGGCGGCGAAAAAGGTTCAGGGCGAGGGCGAGGGCGAGGATGAGGAGGGAAGCGAGGATGAGGTTGATGATGCGTCCAAGTTGGCCCAAAGTTTGGCGGTTTGGGCGGGTTTAGTGAGGCAGCGGCACGGACGCAGGTGCAGTTCGCATATTTTCTCCTCTGTCCGGGGCTTGGCCTTTGGGGCCTTTTGGGGCCTTTTTTGGGGGGTGGGAGCCGCAGTTGCAGCCGGGAAAGGTGGGGAGAGGCGGCGTCTTCTTGAGGGAAAAGGGTTTTACAGTAGAGAGTATGTACTCCGTCGAGAGTGGAGGATACAAGTTAACTCAACTGGAACTCTGCTGGGAGAGGAGAAAAGTAGTTGGGTAGAATGGGGGCGCTTTTTCGGACCTGCTTCCAGGGAGGCTTTTTCTCATTGGCGCTGGGGCTGGTGCGCTAGTTTGCATTGGACCAAATGGGGGGGTGACGGATTGTTTTGGAGGGTTGGAGGGCTCAACTAGAATTTTAGTTGGGTTTAGGTTGGCGATGTCGACACGCTGGACTTGAGGAGGTACTCGTACTCGTACAGTTATGATGTATTGATGGATCCAAAGGGAGAGTGAGTGAAGTGAGTGAGTGAGTACCAGGCGGAGGGTTGTTAGCGGGCTCAGACAGCGACTGAAGTTGCCCTAGAAAGGGACCCCGAAGAGGAGGAGAGACAGGAGAGAGGAGAGAGGGGGGGGTGCAGAAGAAGCCCTAGAAGGCAAAGAGAGTAGAGGCCAGAGGTAAGTAGAAGGGTAGAGGGTCAGAGGGGGCCAAACTGGTCCATGGATTTTGATTTGATTTGCGGTGCGGCTTCAATGTCACTGGCTGCTTGCATCAGACCAATCGGGGGAGTGGTGCAGCATTTCCCGGAGGCTTGGGGGGGTACCTGCACATGCCTGGTGCCTTCAGGTCTTAGTCTTGCGAGTACCGGCCAGTGTTTCGTCAGCATGCTTGTCGCAGCAGTACCTTGCAGGTAGTTTCCAGCCACGGAGTACTGGGGCACCACCCCCTCGTGCTAGTGCCAAAATGCTCTTTTCTGCTGGTCTTGTCTTTGCCAAAAATGACGCCAGTGCTTTCCAAGTACATACACCATCGCGATTTGGATCCTTGGGGAAAGCTTGTTGTTATCAAGCTTGGTGAAGGGAAGAGGGGCACACAATAGACTCGAGGAAGAAGAAGATCAAGAAAGATTAAAGAATCCTATTTACGTAAATATCTATTTATGGGAACCTGTTATACATTTTTGCTTTTTTTTTTTCTGGTTTGAGGGGATGTGGTGGGGGGGGGCAAGAGGCACGTACTCGGACATGTACATCTGTACAAACAGACGGGCAAAATACAAAACCAAACACAAAACAATAGGTACCTTTACACATTCATCTTCTACTGTAGATTCATCCCGGCAAAGCACCCAGGCGACACCTTGTTTCCCTTGCTCGTCAGACTCGATACGGCCGTCCAAGATCCATGTAAACAAGGGATCACGTCACGTCAACTCACCACTCCCTAGACGACCGTCTGTTGCATTCCGCCCTGAATCAACCGCCGTGGCTCCGTCTTCATGGCCTACGGCCTCCCAGGCCGAAGAGAAAAACGTGTCAATATCGTGGAAAACTCTATGATTTTCAAACCGCCGCCTCAGCAATCATTTTCGCCGAGCTGCATACACTGGACTAGGCACGGAGTTCCATCTTTTACACTCTGCCAGATTCATCGGTGCCTTGGCGAAAAGGTACAGGTCATATCTCTCGTGCACGCTTCCATTTCTTCGCCGCCGCTTGCGTGCAAAGAAAAGTGCCCGAGCCGCCGCTGTACATACTCGTACCCGTCCCTGTAACTGCAACAGCAACTGCAGCAAACGCCGCAATCGGGTCGATTCAACGGCAAGGTGAGGAGCACCAGCACTACTACTCCGTACAGTCTACAGGGACCGACCGAGCTCAGTCGCAGACAGCCTGTCCTTTTTGCACCGCAAAAGCCAGGGAGTCCCTCGTTCACAACGGCCCAGGCGTGAGCATCTAAAGCGACACGCCCAGCACTCGGTACTACGAAGGTACTAACCCAAGAATCTACTGCAGGCTGGCAGTCCCGCAAAAGATAAAGAGTGTGTGTGGGGTTTGTGATCGATCCACAAATTGGAAAATGGCCACTGCCACTAGCATTCCCGCCCTATTCCGGAACAGGCAGCATCCCTCCAGTCGATGCTCTTCCATCAATCCTGTTTATCGATATGGAGCAGCGTGTGCTGCACATTTAGTGTTGGTTGCTAACCTGCTCTGCTAACTGTCCCTACAGACAGGGAAAACCATGGAAGATAGCTGCCTCTCAGCTTATCAGGCACCGGATGCCTCATCCTTATTAGACGAGTGCCTGTTCGCGTTGCGGCGGCTTTGAGCGAAGCATTACCGAGGGCACTGCATCAGAGACATTCAAGGTTCTTGTTTGTGCCACCTGTGCTACCCCTCCAGCTCGTCGACAGGGGGCTTAAAGAGACCCGGCGACTGCTGAAGGTACTTGGGCGACCACTGCGTGCTGCAGCGCTACCAAGTACTGCGTCCTGCACGGTAGCATCCAACGATGGGCCATGTCTATCATCTGGAACAAACCCGTGCCGCCTCTGCACTTGTTTTGTCGCACTTGGCACTTCTAGAACGCCGCCATGGTCCCTGATGCGACGGTGTTTTTCTTCTTCTTCTTCTTAATTTTTTTTTTCTTTGCGCGTCGCTTGGCGGTACGCACAATGCAGCGCCTTGGGTCGTGCGCTTCTATTACGAGAAGTACTTGCTTGTCGCGCGGCTCTTCATGCTTGCTAGAGTGGCCATTCAAACAAGAACACGTATGCTTCACCCAGAGGGAAAAAAAATTAAAGAATAAAGAATGGCGATTCAATATTGATTTTTCTCTTTCTACAAGCATTTCTCCTTTTCTCGACTTGCATTATCCATCATGGGGGATGTAGCATCATTGCCCCTGTCACTGCCTGCACTGCAACACACCCACGGGAAGTTGGCAGCAACCCGTCCTCGGAAACCCTGACAGCCAACATTGAAACGTGCTTGTGGACGATGGTGGCACTTCGAGATGGGCTGAGTCTTCTGGCACGCGCCGATTTGCTCTCCGTGCTTGTGTGAGCCTCACCAAGGGGTATTTTCGAGGCAAGTTTGCGGCATCGTTCCCGGCTGCCACACAAACGAGAGCATGCAAACATGAAGCAGCGCGTGCAGTGATGAGTGATGACGAGAAGACGATACAAGTTCGAGTACCACCTACTAAGCAGTACAGTACAGTGCTCGTAGCATCGCAGGTGGAGGCAGCGCGCTCAACCGCCTGGCTTGGCCTTGTCCAATATCCCCTCCCCAAAGCTGCAAAATCTGGTAGCCGTAAATTAGTACGAATACACCGCGAAAAAATTACTGATGCATCACATCGCATCTCGTCTTATCCCATCCCACCCAAGATTCGGCAATGGCTCATGACCATCTTTAGCTCAGACACAAGCACGTGCAAATTGCCCATTGGTGGGGCTATCTGCAGTGGGGTCGCTGCCGACTTTGGAGTACGTCCCACGGCTCGGAGGCACGTCGTGCTAGAGGTACCACTCCGTACGAGGCTACGCCGCATTGGTTAGCACTAAGATTGCAGATTATGGGGAGCAACGGCCGGCCAACCACACGCCGCCGTCGCCATACACTAGCAAGGCAGCTTATGCATGTCAAATTGCTGTCCTCGATGGAGATGATGGAAACTGCCGCTTCATTGGACGCGCGCGCGTCGCTCATTTTGCGCTGGCGGACGCCGTTCCGCTACAAGAGAGGGGGGGGGGGAGATCATGCCCCCCGAAGAAGCTCGCCCATCACACCACTGGCGCGCTGACCTGCCCCTGTTCATCAGGAACCGGCATTGATCAGTCAGTCCAGCATGGGTCGAGCCATCGCATGTACAGCAAGCTCTTTGTCTAGTTTGAATGCACTAATACGATACCTACGGTACGAGCACAGCCGCTCTATTCCGTACCAATACCAGTCTTCCCGAATCCAGATCGCATCTGCTAACGAAGCTCCTGCAGGTGTTGCTACGAACGGCCGACGACCGAGCCCGTCATCGCAAACCGCCTTTCAATGTCTGTGTTGTGCGACCTGATACGAGTGCTGCCACCTCGTAGGACTTCTGCAAAACAAAAGACAAGGAGTCTTGGTCCCAAGAGGGGGACCACACGGCCGCAGAAGTGGCCCGCTTGCCTTACAGACACGACGACTAGCTAGGGCTAAGCTCAGGCCAGCATAGCACAACGTTCAGGGGGGGGGCTAACCGTCTTGTCTGCAAATGGCGGCAGAACTATTACTTCGTATACTTTCTCAAAGTCATGTCCAGTGGCATCAGCCATGACAAGACCGTCGTAGGCGGCACCTTGAAAGATGCAGATTATGGGGTGCTATTCCCCGTACCACTCGTTATTGTCATCGCTGATTATTATACTGATTTTGCAGGCTTCGGCGGCAACGAAGAGGGGAGAATGACTAGCATCGAATTGCTCCACGATGGCTAACATCTTACCGCACGGAGCAAATCGCTTGGGTTTAGTCATACATCTCCACCATCCCGTATCTTGATCACGAGCCGTGCGTGTACGGATAGTATTCCTTATTTCCTGGTACTAGTTAGTGCTACGGGCTACCTTGCTTGATTCGTACAGAGCAGATTAACTAGAAATCCGAGAAACAAGTGTCCACAAGCGGGGATCAAGCGAGGCCAGGCGACGCAGTTGGCTCATCCATCACCTTGTTCCCGCGAGGACCCTTGAGCGTCTACTTCTCCGGGGAAATGAAGGGGTACACGTACCACAGTACAGGCGAATTATAGCGGTTCCAACTCGGGTATTAACTCCGTGCCGGTTCCGCGCTCTGATCCCTTGCGATGGACTCGTAGGGCTGGAAATAGTGACACGCCATGTCGTCGCAGCCACCTGCAATGGGGGAATAGATGGCCAAGGTAGTGTTCTAATATCGAATACAGTTCCGCTCATTACAGCTCGACAACGCCTATATAGCAATACAGGCAGGTACCTACTATATGTTATGGGGCTTATATAGCTCAAGACACTAACATCGAGAGGCGTTTGTTATACAGCATCTGGAACGAGGCTCCCACGATACGGCTATCCCGAATAGTTCCGCGACATTAAGCAGTGCCTCCACGGACATACTCATCTCAACATCGGTAACTATTCGTTACGAACAGATGCCTACTAATCTACCCAAGGTAAATATTATTCAGCCTTTCATTATTTGTATCAGTCGACAGATATCTCCTGCCCGAGCAGGTACAGAGGTACCTGATAGTATTCCAGTGGCATCATCACCACGCTCCTGCCTCGTCATGCTCGCTTAAACTAAGCCCTCGCTCGCCACAACGAGCACAGCTTCATTTCTTTCCTTTCTTCATCTCACCATTTGTCCACAAAACCCCTCTCCACTGCGAAGCTTTCCCCTCTACTTTGTCGCTCCTTTTCTTCTTCTCTACATCGCGTTCGGAACCATGTGAGTTGGAGCAAGAGGCAACAGGCATCAATCGCGTGCTGGATCTGGAAGTGCGCCGAGGTTGTGTGCTTCTACCCACCACCTTGAAACTACAGTTCCGCCCTCCTGCTAACCAAACTTTTACTAAGGATACGATACCCGAAATCCTCCAACCTTCCAACCCTCCAGCGACTGCAGCCGACTCGAGACATGCAGCCAGACTTGGTCATGGCATCTGGCACGCGGAATCCTCAGCCTCGGCCAAGGTCCTTGTTCTTGTCATCTCATTCGCCCTTGGGGTTCTTGGCACATTGCCATGTTCATGCTGAGCCGATCCCTTGTGCCGGCGTCATGGTATCGCTTCAACCACGCTTGCCCACAATTCACTATGCGTTCTATCCTCGGCTTTTGGCTCATTCATGCCACACCAGTTCATCTCCGCTTTCTTCCTGCTGTTAGTACATACAAGTATGCATCTTCATCCCGCCTCTCGGCCAAGCGGAAACGGCAGGCATCGACTAACATGCATAGCCTCTGCCGCAATCTTGATCATATCGACACCCCTGATGCCCAAGTTGCATCTCTCCCAAACTCACGTGGGCCATGCTATACCTTCTCACATCTAGCACGGAAGACCAAGACGCCCACTTTGTACGGCACACAATAGGCCTCCTTTTCGACCCTTGAGAATGCTCTTTGGACGGTACACTCCCAGGCGTGGGCCTCCTTACGAGATACTAGTTCATTGGTCATGGCTAGAAGCACACGACGCGCTACTGTGTGTCAGCCCATGTCAATCACATTTCTTCACCTTGCATCCACACACACTGGAAAGGCGGAATCGACCCCGGAGTGGTCTCGGCTGCTACTCGTACTAGTACCACCAAGTGTTTGGATTCAGCAGGATGAAAGTGGGCTGCTTCGCTCGCTTTCTCTAGGCTCAGGAAAGCTTCTATTTCGACCTGCCGCCGACAGATGAAAAAGCCCCCCTTTTCGATTCACATGTTACCTCAGGTAAGAATCAGCCTGTGCTCGCTGGCAACATAGGAAGTACGGAGCTACCCATATTGATCTGATAGTCAATCTGAATCAAAGCACGAGCTGAGTGGCTCTGGTCGGTGCAAGCCATTGCTATATTGGGACACTTAATCTCAGCCTAATCGACTCTGGGCACATGCCAAGTTTCCAGAGCGTATCCACGAAAACAACTCGGCTTCCAGTGTCTTCTTTCATGGTACTCGCAGGATTTAGCCGTACCTCCAGCCAACCTTGAAGCGTTTTCCTTCTGCCTATCCGTTAGTAGGGTGGTGTAATGCGTCGAAAAGCATGCATCCATCACCTCTATCATGCGCGGAATGTTGGTAGTTGGCCCGATTCGACCAACAGCCGTAATGACAGCCCAGTTTTCCAATAGGCGGAGCGCGTGACGCCAAAGCAGCCCGCGTGAGTTGACAACAGCAGCAACTGTTTCTGCGAACAACACTTCCTAACATTCTATAACATGCACTTTTGTGACTTCTTTGTCCAATTCAGTCGATAACCGGAGTCTTAGAGCCAGCGTCACTCTTGGTTGTGATCTCCCCGGATTGGCGGTTGATATGTCTTCATTATCTCTTGAGAAGAAGAAGAAGAAGCTGATAATTCGATTGGTGCCCATTTCCGGATACTGGATGCCTCGCCGCACTGCTTGTTTCTCCACCAAGGACAAACCGTCTCGCTCTATACATTCTCCAGTGCGTATAGACACGGTTACCAGTGAACAGAGTCGTCATCTACGAGACAAACCATTCTCTCCGTGCTTCGGTGTCCGATTGAGACTCCAAAATATTGACTGATCCCAACGAAATGAGAGTTTGTTTGGGCATTATGAATGCGTGATCGTGCTTTTCCTTTAGCTTCTTCCAGTTGCGGTGTGGTGCTCATCATTACGATAGTCGATTTCATACATACGGCCAAGTGGTCATTTCCAAATCATGCATTTACACCACCGCTTCTCTCTCTGTTCAAGTCACTCTTATGCCAGATTCGATACATATCTGCGTTGAGATTGCAGTGCCTGAAGATTCAAACAGGCCAGCCTCTCTGCCTTTGGGCCCCCATAGCTTCCCCGCTTGACTATCACCTGCGCTCCATCATTTTCTGATATCACAGAAATGCTCATTCGGGCTAATTCTTACACTCAATCTAAGAGACGAAGTTCTCCCTAGCGCATCCATTCAACCTATCGCAACAGGCCAACATCATCCAGCCCTTCTCCCCTTACAGTCTATCCTAAAATCTGTCTCTCCCTCCTATATACGAAATGGGCTCTGGGGAATGCTGCAAGTTGATGACGATACTGCAGTGAGAATCGCGCTGTCTCAGCCAATATCGCCCCCTCACTTGCTTTCGTGTCCGATCTCATCGTGAGCCTTGAATATTATTGGTTCCTTCAAACCACGCTTTCTTTCTGAGAAGTGCATTTATATCATCATGTCCATGTCAACCGTCTAAAAACGCATGCTTGCCTAGCTTATGATCTCCGCTTCATTCCTTCCAGAGGTGATCTATCACCATGCAAGTCCCTCGCGATCGTCACATTCAAGCACTATTACTGGGTACGCGGGATAAGCCCAAGATACAAATGGTTAGCTGTTCACTGGGCACTCCTAGATGTCTTCCAACACACACAAGCTATGAGAAGAAACCTCAAGCACTGTTTACCAATCATATCTCCCCACACATGAGGGATAGATACAACTGACATCGGACATGTTATCTCCATTCATCGTTACGTCCTTTGAACCTTGTTAGCCGTGCCATATGAACACCAAAGGTACTCATAGCCGTACTCCGGGACCAAGGCGATCAGCGCGATGATACCGTGAAGAATGGTTGGGCCATTCAGCCCGTTGCCCTGCACATTCGACACCTATGTCAAGAGTATGCACCTGTTGCATGAATAGGAGAATTGTGGATCCTGCCGAGTAAGTAATTGCAAGCACTCCATCTACAATCCGACCGCGAATTCGAATCAGAAAGACGTGAATGATCGGAGTGCCTTGATTGCCTGTAAGTCATTTTCATTTTTTTGCAGTCGAGGCGTGCAATGCGTGAGCATATAATGCCAAATATTTCACTCCCTTCCATCAAGAAGAACATCTTCGGTCTGGTGGTCTAGTGGTATGATTCTCGCTTAGGGTAAACCCTACAGCTTGCTTGCGAGAGGTCCCGGGTTCAATCCCCGGCCAGACCCTTTCTTTTTCTTTTCATTTTCCATTCCTTTTTGTCTCTTCTTTCTATTTATTCCTTTTACTCTTTTGCTCTCTTCTTCTATCTAGTCCTTGTGTACTCATCGTGTCTGTCTATCCGCTCATAGTTATCAACCTCCATCGCTCTTCCATCATTTCGCCTGTGAACAGCGACATCATAGCGCTCTTTTCAAGAGAGGCTTCCTAAGCAATCACAAGGTCCTTGCTCCAGACTGTCCGATGGGAAAATATACGCCAAGTTTTGTGTGGTAAACTATATCTTGAAGAAGCACCTCGAAGTCTTGTTTGCGGGTAAGGAATAAATAGAATTGCTGCACCTTGTCAACCTAACCCTTCCTTCTTGTATACTCCTTCTTTGATGTCCGTCCCGCACCACGTGAGTGAGTATGCGTGCTTCTATTATCTCAACATCTGTTCCAAGTCTTGCCCGTCCAAGTCTAATAACGCCGTCGATGTCTTGTACCATATCCCCCCGCCTCCCCAGGAATTACCACCCATTCTTCTAGTGCTGAGGAGATGAAAACGAAAAAAGAAAGAAAATCGAGCACACATCTAGTCTCAGCTTGCTCCGAGGTGAAGAAGTTACAGTAGGGTGATGGCGGCCTTGCAACGTTTTTGCCGCGAAGAGGAACGAATCGATTGGTTGTCTCCCGAATGTGTTTGGGCTCGAATCTAGGTCACAGGAGCCTTTTCGTCGGATACATAGGGCTAGTCGTCGAGGGGCCTTGGACAAAACCATGTGAGGGTGAAGCGCTCTGCCATGCGTGAAAAAAACAAGATCCCGCTTTGCTCAATAGCAAACACAATCAAATACCCGGGTATATACATGCGGTCCATGTGATGAAAGGGTTTCCTCCACTGTTTGTTCTCGTTGGCAACTTTTCCGTGTGCTCTTTGCCGTAGCCCACATGGGCGTTTTCGGTTGTGAAATAGGGGATGAGCCGATTACAGTATGACGCATCGCGGATGGGTGCTATCACGAAACTTAGAGCGTCGCCTGCGCTTGTTGTTGGATGCCTTGAGCGCATCTATCCTTGAACTGTCGTCGGGATCAGTCGTATCATCTTCTTTGCGGAGCATCTGTCTGCAAAGATCGATGAAGACTTCATCAACGTTTGCTTGGCCACGGTTAGTATGCTTGAGTGGGGTCCGGAAACCATGTAGCGGGAACAAACTCACTTCGAGTCCTGGCACTGGCTTCATAATACGGAGCTCCCCATTTCTGTGAGATTGCAAAGCCCTTGGCGCGGGGAATGGCTCTCCCTTCTTCCAGGTCGGCCTTGTTCCCGACGATAACCATAGGAACATTGTCGTCATCTTTGATGCGAAGGATTTCTTCCCTAAGCCCCTCTAACTCGTTAAGTGACGAGGCTGATGTGATGCTGAAAACGAGCAGGAAACCTTGGCCGGTTTTCATGTACAAATCTCTCATGGCCACTAACCACGCGTTAGTTTAGAAAATGCCTTGTTGGATGAAGAAGAAACGACAAAGGAGAACATACCAAACTGTTCGGTGCCGGCTGTGTCGAGGCTGTCATCTTGATATCAGAAACTGTCCAACAACAACCAAGACATGGGGCAACGGTTAGAGAGTGGTCAGAAGTCTTACATCTCCAGAATTACTTGTCGGCCCTAGAGAGCGGAAACACAGTGTTAGAAACTTGGCAACGATGCGCAGGCCATAATGACTCGAGGGACCTGGAAAACTTACATCGACCTGGACCTGAGTGCGGTACGAGTCTTCAATGGTAGGATCGTAACTTTCGATCCATTCATTGTGGACAAACTGGGCTGCTCTGCTGTTAGGAAATGCATTGAAAATGGTGGCTGGGATAGGTGATGACAAGACTCACCAGTCAGGCAACTTTTGCCGACGCCACCTAAGCAAGACGGTTAGCGATGTGGCACGTCCGGCATGGGAGCTTGAGGCGTGACAAACCTGCGCCAAGAACAACCACATGGAGCTCACGGCTATGAGATGAAAAGCAATGCGGTTAGACAGAGGACTCTTGAGACGGACTTGGAGAAGAGGAGAGGAGAATATCATCCGATATCGACCAAGGTCAATTGGATGTCGCAGGGTCATTGTCTTACCTGGACGAGTAGGGACTTCGCGGCGCCATGGCAAACGGTGATATATGGCGCAATGCAGCCTAAAAGGTTGAGACTTATAACAAGAGGCGAGACAAAAGCAGTGTAACCAACCGGCAGTGCTTTTCAAGTCCAACGAGGAGCGGGTTTGACGGTGCACAGGGCTGTATAAAGCCTCGAGGGCCGAGCCGGCGATGCGCTGTGAAACACGAAGCCGCCACTGAGACAAATTTCGGGACTGTTCGTCTCGCGTAGCCGCAGACGCTGCAAGTTCCGGGGTATAAAAAGCTGGCCAATGGAAACGCTGGATGACGGTCAGACGGCGAGAGCAAAGCGAGTATGAGGGAATGCCGCGATAGGTCAAAGGCAATGGGCACAGGAGAGGGAGAAAAAAAAGGCCAGACAAGACGTCGTGTTGCAGTCGCCAGGGTGAGTAATCAATCAGATAATGTCACTCTCTCAAGACGAGCCGGAAAAATTGAACCGTCGTGGGGGCGGTGAATGGCGGTTATATTGCAAAACGACGGGGATTGTGAGGATATCGGCCGTTCGACTTGATTTGGCTGCTAGCCTGGGAATGTCGAGTTGCAGCACTAAAAACGGCTTTGCAGGGCGGGGGGGTCTTAAGCGAAGATTGAGAGAACAAGAGCAGAAGTAGCCGCGAGCTGGATGGGATGCTGTTCTCTCTCTCTCTTTTTTTTTCTTTTTCTTGCCTTATCACAACGATCTGTCGATTTTTTTTTTTTCTTCTTTTTTCTTCTTTCTTTTTCTTGTTTCTGATTCTCCCCTTGGAACGGGTTGAGACAAGGATGAAAGAAGCGGTGGCCGTATCAGGATGGGAGAAAAAAGAAATAAATAGAAGAAATAATTATGACAAAAGTACCTACTTTGAATGTTGGCAAGGGTATTGATTGATAGCAGCTCGTGTGTGCCTTTGGGGGTAAAAAAAGTAGCTGGAAGGAGAATAGCGTCGTGGCGGTAGGATGCGGTTGGTTGCGAGCAGATGCAGATGAAGGTTGTGAGGAGGATGAAAAATAGCCAATGCTGATTGGAACGATATTGTGACTTCGCAAAGGTGATCGTAATCAGAATGCGAGGCAGAGGTGATGAGGATTTGACGATATTTTTTCAAAAAGGAGGTTGAAAAAAAGAGGAGGAGAAGAGAGCAAGCTTGGCTTGAGAAAAGGGGGATGTTGATCAGATTTGGGCAGCAAAGGAAGGGACAAGGGCTTCTCTTCGCTTTTTGTATATGGGCAGGTGCAGAGCAGTAGCGACGAGAAAATATAGTAGAGCACAAGTACGGAAGCTACTGCGGGCAACGGCTAGTATAGGTGGGAAGGTGCTAGCCCACTAACCACCCAGTAGTAACAGTGGTGAAGCCTTGGTGAAAAAAGGGTTTTAAAAAAAGAAAAAGAAAATAAAGTGCAAAATATAAAACAATATATAAAAAATAAAAAAAAGAGGCGGGGGAGGAGGGGGAAAATGAGAAAAGACGAAATACTACTAGGTAGCAGTGAGGATCAGTGATGCGAGTGGCAATGGCCTGAAACAGTCTCGCAGCACGAGGTGGGAGCAAAAGGAACGATCTAAGTCATGATCGGGTCCGATGGCAGCTGGATAAATGATCAGATGCCAAGCTCAGCACGCAGCACCCTAGAAAGAGCCCTGCAAGGTAGACTGAGCTAAGAGAGGGAGAGAGACAAAGTTGCAGTAGGGCGCCGAGAAAAAGAAAGAATGAAAAAATTGTCTTAGGGATGGCGGCTTTTTGGTGCGTATGATGTAAAACAGTGGGGGGTGTGTAAAATCTGGGGGGTTGAATGGAGAGTCGTGCCGTGCCGTGCCGTATCGTATCGCTGCGTATCGAATCCGTCGAGTCGTTACAGTCGTCTGTTGGATAGAGTGAGAAATCTTGGTTGGTTAGGGCAATGAAGGATCATAGATGTAGAGCGTATACAGACATATCTCCGCCAACATATGTAGGTAGATGCGAAGTAAGGACTAGGTAGGGAAATATATCCGCGTGGGTATATATAGAATATATATGTGATATCGGGGGGAGGCGCATGTAGGTGTCGGGATAGGAAATAATACTCCGTACCTTGTAGAGACGAGGGATATCGGAGGGACTAAAAGGATACAGAAGAGTACAATCAGGTGCTGAAAGTACCAAGCAATACCCGTCAACTCCAAAGAGGCGGGTGATGAGTATCGTATAATACTCTTTTGCTGACTGACTGACTGACTGACTGCTTGCCTGCCTGTATCTCTGTACGAGTATGTCTGCCTACTTGTCTGACCTGAACACCTTGAATCGCCTCAAGAAGACGGTTCTTTCAATAAGTTCTCTTTCCTCCCACGCGTTCTGGCTTATATCAATCTTGCGTGAGAAATTGGAGGCAGGGGGGAGAGAGACAGAGGCGGTGATAATGACAATAAATGACAGGTGACCAAACACGTCTTTCTCCTTTGCGACAGCAAGCGCTCAGAGATTCAACATATAAAATGATGCCACAACTTGCATGGGGGTGCTGGCGGTTTAGATTAGCAGGTAGGATAGGGCAAGCATGGTTTGGGCTAGGAAGCATGGGCAATATATATCTACAACATGCATGCCATACTCGTACTACATCCATGCACTTTGATCAGCCTTCAGCCTTGAGGGTACTCGAAGCAGCACCAGGACTAGTACCGAGGACTCGAAGAGCAGGCTAGAGTCGAGTTCTAAGTTTGTGTTAGTCCGAGCGAGTACCGGACGGACTGAGCCGGGGGGTTGCAGCAATGTAACAGCACCATTTATGACGGAAGAGAAGGAGGAGGGTGTGTGTAATGAGAGAAACAAGGGCGGGCGAAAGCGGGCGGACTAATACCATGGATCGTAAGTATTACCGCTTAATAGCCACTGAGTAGATGAGCAAGCAAGGGAGGATGAGGAGAAAGAATAAAAAAAAGGCTAAAGCATAGTATTGCAAGGGAGACAATAGAGAAAGATACGCGAGTGCTGCATACAAAAGACACAAGAGATGGAAGGCAATAGGAGAGGAGAGAGGCAGAAGGCTGAACCGAGTAGCGGTACAGAGTAGCCTTGGAAAGTGAGTAGCTCTCTTACAAGATGACTCCTCTCTCTTTTTTCCTTTTTTTGGTGCCCAATCGAAAGCATTCTCAGGACCAAGCAGGGGCACTGAAAATGAGGATCCCCTTTCAAAAATTGAACTGTTCCTGTCGGGTCCGCCGTCCAAGGATTTGGGACGCACCAGAGCAGGGGGATCCCAGTCACCAAGTAAAATCCAATTCAAGCAAAAGAACAGAGCATCAGAAGAAACTGGATGGGAGAAAAAGCCCTCACGCTATGCACAATGCTAGCCCAAGGCATCAACCTATGCCTACCTTGCCAGACACTTTTTGGCAGATACACGGACCATGTCATGTCTTAAGAGAATGTCAGGCTAAGCAAACAGGGCGTACACGGGAAGAGCCAATGAGACGCAGGGCATGTCTCAGAGTGGTGTGTAAGTTCGGTCGGCGCAGGGAGGGAACCATGACTTTGCTGGCAAAAGAAAGGAAAAGGGAAACAGAAAATTGGAGGCACGCAACTGGACATGGTGGCATCGGGCGGTTCAACTGGCCCCCGGATGGCGCGCCACGGCCCCGGAATCAAGACGCATATGAGTATGAATTTGCACGAGACACAGTGGGTGGTGCCAGTTCCAGCTTCAGCTTCAACTTGGGTCCCGGCAGTGGTGATCCGAAAGGCCTCGGGTTGCACAGAGCGGCTTGATGGGGGCTCGCGTAAACTTGTCAGTTGCCAGACATCGTGGAGAGAGCAAGCGGCGGGATTCCGGCATGTGGATTGAGCCCTGAAACGAGACAAGACAATCAAAGTACGAGTCGTTTGTGACGGCGGCCAAAGGGAGAGCAAGCAGTATCGTAAACGAAACACGGGCATCTATTGCATGTGCTTGTCAGTCAGTCAGTGGCAAAAACAAGCTTCTTCTGGGTATAATGGCTATGAGCTACGAATACAGTACCAACCGGGGTAGTAATCCTTGATGCCGTCAACCCAACCCGCAACGACGGAGCCCGAGGACCGGGCTAATTTCGAAAGCAAGACAACAGATTGGGCCCAAGAGGCGCGCCAACGAGCTCATTGGGTGTTGAATGCTTGACGACAAGTCCAGGTGATGAGATGAAAGTGCGGCGCGGTTGCGAGTGCTTGCAATGGTACCTGTGATGCCTGCAAATTGAGCATCATGCGATGCGTCGTTCCAAGGGCTCCTGGCCAGGCATTTCGTCCACTAGCGGCATCATCTCCGCGGCTGCAGATAGAGTAGAGATACAGCTACCCAGTTGCTGGTGCCTCTATCCTCCATCCTCGTTCGTTTCCGCCCGCGTGTTTTAGCGGCTCGGGCACCCAAACAAGCAAGCTGAGCCAGGGTCCTTCTGTCTAGCACGAGTGCCTGTAAGCTGTCAAAAAACGAGGCCGGTCCGTTGCATCATCTCGCGCGTGGCGGGCCAGCTAGTCCGCGATCAGCTTTGCAGGCTCCCCGTATGTCTATATGTCTGTATGCAACAAACCTGTCAGCGTTTCATATCACATGAATGCCAAGCCCGTCAAGACCAAGGGAGAGAAAAGAAAGAACCACAGGGGAGCAGTCAAGTGACAGATGAAAGATGGAGAATAGAAGTTGTCGTAGGTAGCGAGTTTTCATAACTCAGTGCCGCAGAAATTACAGAATGCTGAGATGGTAGGAGTTGGTTGAAAGGGAAAAGAATCGAACTGCTGCCAATTCGCTTCCTGCCCTCAATCTCAATCTCCATGTGTTCAAATCTCCCAACTTGCTTCCCGTACCTCCTGCCTCATCTCACTTGTACAAAGTTAGTATTTGCATCTTGGCTACCTAGTAGGTACTAACGTGGCAGAAAGATAAGACAAGCAAAAGTCCTTGCCCATGCCCTTTTCGAGCAATATCAGGGACATGGTTCAGGTTCACTTGGATGCTTGCACACGTTCAATCCCTACCTACCCACCACCATCTGCCACTGGCACTGCCTTGGCAAGATTGGTTCAAATATAGCTTCAACAACCTCTGCCACTTGCGGGTCGCCAATCGTCCAGAATGGGTCGATCTCTTTTTCCTCCCTCGCTGTCACTATTGGCTCTCTGTTCTAGTATCCCGCTCTTCTTCTCTCCTCTATTACGCTCTGATGCGAACGGCTTCTCTCGAAACCTGGGTAACCGATTTTTGCAGCCATCTCCTACTGACTTGCCATGAGCTTCGGAAACTGAACCTCATCTTGCAAGCTTCAACGATGATCTCTGTTTCTCATTTGGGTCCGTCATTTGTCAGTCTCATCCCTTCTCCAGGTGCTTCCTGTTCGTCTAATCCGAGAAAGGAAACCCGTGTCTCGAGACCAAAGACAATCCGACTACTACTACTACCACCATCGCCACCAGCTATCCCGTCCCAAGTACCAAGTTGTCATGGGCTAGCTGGTCTCTGCCCTTGGTCATGTCTCAGATTGCGCAGATACTAACTCATCGCGGGATACCGAGGCCGCTTCCGCTATTCTTGGGCAGCAACCCGGCCAAATTAACAATCGTCACGAGACCATCAGGCAAACGGCATTTTCGCCAACCATGCACGGATCACTGGTATGGGAACATACCGTACAGTACCCGCAAAAGAATAGGCCAGGGCAAAGGGCAAAAAGAGGTTAGTAAAACAGAAAAAGAAGACTCGGACTTGCCAGACCTCCAGAGTCGCCAAGCTTGACCTCAGCCTCTCTTACGGCGGACTCAGATCTCGGCTTCATCGAAATGGAGCTACCTATACTGGTAGGCTCTTCCGCGTCTGACAACAGAGATGAAGCGCAAGCGAGGGTTTGAAAAAAAAAAATCTGCACCCACTCGCGGCTGTCTCATCCAATCTAGGAAATCCCACAAAGTCGGTCTGATGTCCCGCTTACAAGGCAGACCCGCGGATATGGCCCCCAAACTGATTTTGCTTTGACAGCAGCAACCCATTTTCGTCATATTTTGGGGCCCCGGCCGGCATATGAATTTCTGTCTCCTTCTGTTCGGAGACATAGCTGCAGCTCGCATCGCCATCTCCATGCACAAATCCTCCGAGCCCGTTCTATAAGTCGCATTCAAAGCGGAAGCTACCAGTAAATCTTGTCTTTGAACGGTGGATCGGTTCAAACGAGTGGCGAGAGAGCATTTCCCTCAACACAGGATTTACCTGGGCTGTTCTGCTCCTGACACCGATGGCTGTTGGTGCTTCTTGAAGCTATCGAATCTGTCGATCCTTCGGGCCACTAAAAAAGATGTCTTATTAGTATACCATCACATGCAGCTCCTTTTGGCAAACCACAGCTCCGATCCCCCAGACTCGCCGGTCGGTATAATCTAGATGGCACATGCTACTCCGGATGCAGTAACAGATGCTCGGTATCGTCCACTCCGAGAACCGACATGTTGCTTCAGAAGCTCGTCTCCAAGTGGCAGATCCCACTTCTTCGGTCACCGTTCCTGGAAGCGGCCGTGTTAGTCCCAGTATTCTGAAGCTGTGAGCCATGTGCTTACTAGGTGCATGTATGGAGTAGCAAAAAAACGGCTCCTCCGTTTGCCCTCTTCCCGGAGCAATCAGCATTGCCTGTAATGGCAAAAACATTGGAGATTTCGAGCTGGGCCTGTAATATCCTTAAATACAATCCCAGCCTGTCCTAGCTTACCCGCTGCCGCCAAACCTTGACGGCGATGCCGCTAATCCACCACGGCTCGTCTCGAGATACCGCCACTGCCGCTATCGACGCACGCTAGATTGTACGTCCATGCTTTTCACTCCCGGCATTTCTGCCCGTGCCCGTAGCGAATATCTTCATAGAGATGGCAGTTGCTCAACTCGCCATTGTCGTGCCTCGTATAGAGGTGGGGGGTGAACGGAGTGGGTTTACCTTTGCAGGGATTGTGTAAGTGCGTGCTGTGAGAGGGAACAAGCATCGGCTTGCTGACTGACAGCCGTGGCAAACTTTGCTAGTAGCAGCAATCATGTTAGTAGTATGAACATACTTGTAAGACACGGTGAAGAAAAGGGCAACTCTTGGCAGATTTCTCGTATAAGCATGGCCCCGGGAGAGGGCATCGTGGCTGTGCCTTGTGACAAGCAACGGTGCCAGAGAATAAGGCCAGAGGATGTAACAAGTTCCTCGACGATGCTGCTTTATATCTGGCATCTGATGCTCACGAATAGAATAATCCGTCTCAGCTAGCAAGTGCCATGATGAATGTAACATGCCATACCTCGCATATACTTGATACGCGGCATGTGCAAAGTGAATCGTGTTGCAAATCAACCCAAGAAATCAGTAAGAAATCGCCGGTGGCCAAAACAATGATGCCAAAAATTATATCCAGTCTTTTCCAGCTCGTGCTAGGTAGCTATCATAATCATGTTTCCTTTCCTAGCTCCTAGTAGGTGGCAGCTTCATGACCAACTGTCTCTGGCATGCGAGCAACGCCACACAGGTCGTACCTATCCCGGCCGCCTTTGTGATTTTGGCCGCCCATTCCATATTATCATCCGCAGATACTGGGTCTCAAAATCTATTCGCCCCAACCCAAAAATAAATCCAAAACATGCTAAAACATCCGGGCACACACCCAGCCCTCTTTGTAAAGGTAAACCAATAGGCAAAAATGACACTCGAAACCATAAATCAAACCAGACAGACGCCATGACACCTCGCTCGCACATAACATTATGTGGGCAGCATGCTTATACAGTTCGTATCATCACCGTCCCTTGTTATTCATGTACGGCACAATCCCATCGCTCCCGCGCCAAGGACAATGAAGAAAGGGGAAGAAGAAATAAGAGAAGAAATACGAGAAAGGGGAAGACGAAGAGGAAGAAGAGGAAGAGGAAGATGGAGAAGATGGAAGAGAAAGAAAGCGGAAACTAAGACATGAAAGAGAAGAAGAATGACGCTGGCTTCTGCAGATCAAAGCATGACTTTTGCCAGCATAGGCGCGGCGGCCGAGGGAGACAAATTAACGTTTCTCGACATCAGAAACCAGGACCAGAACCAGGACTAGGACCAGGACTAGGACCAGGACTAGGACCATGATCAGATGATTTGTTGAGTGCCCCTTTAACAACACCCAACGCCACGCCGATGATCAGCGCGCCACAGAACATAAACAGCACGGCTAAGAGGATGATGCAAATCTTGAGGCGCCTCTGTTTGCGCCTGCGCTCCGCAGCTGCCGCGTCTAGTTTATAGGGGTCTTCAGCAGCATTGCTGGCCTGCGTCAGCGCAGAGGTTGAGGCTCCTGGAGCCAAGGGTGCCATTTGAGGAGACAAGGCAACTGTCGCGCCGTGTAGCGGCATCATCTCTATTCCCCCCGTTTGGACAGTCACATCGACGCGCGTATTTGGACGTGTAGCCGGGTTGGCGAGAGCCGTTGCATCGATTTGCGAGTACTGGTATGTGCTGGGAGCCTGGTTCTGGTCATAGGGAGGCGGAGGGCTGCTGGGGATATCGTAGGGCTGCCAAGTTCCCTGGTTCTGAGGCTGTTGTTGATGCTGAGGCTGGTATCCAGGTTGAGGTCCCACGTGTGAGGGCAAAGGCGTCATTCCATGCGAGGGATGCGAAGGGCTCGCGCCAAAGCCTCCAGGGCTGTAGGACGTCTGGAGCTGCTGCTGCTGCCGGAATGGCGAGTCGTCCGGATAAGCAGCATCGGGAATCGAGTGCGAGGGATGATATTGCTGCCGCCGGATGTCGTCATCGTATGAATCCATGGCCCGGGCCGAGCCGTGGCGGTTGCGCAAGGCGGTTGAAGAGAACGGTATGATTCAGCCCAGCAGCGTGGGACGGGTCTGAGATGCAAGTAGATGCAAGATTTCCAGAACAGAGGCCAAACGAGTGAGCCTCGGGGGGTCTCCACCGATGCAGCCCACCAGAGCTGCAGGCTTTTAACTCAGTAAGCAACAGCGGCAAGGGGTTGTGGAGGCGAGAGTGCATACATACTCGTAGAACAGGTGGTAGACTATACGTGTATACGTGTATGTCTATGTGCGCGTGGAAGTCTGGGTGGTTATGTGATGGCGTGAGCAAAAAGTACGCAGGATGGAGTACAAGCGCTCGTAGTGCTAATCCAAGAAAGAGTGGCTCGGATCTAACAAAGAACAAAGGCAGATTGCTCAGGGGTCCTAAGCCAGCATTCGGCAGGCTATTGACGTAATGAAAGTTAGAGCCAGTATATGCTCCGTAAGTAAGACCGACTGGAGAAAGACCGTGTCGTTGCGGTTGTCGTCTCGCGTGGGAAGGAAAGGATGCCCAACGGGGGGCCAAGAGTGAGAAAGAGGTTTGGGGATGAGGGAAAAGAACGCGGGCTGCCAGCACGAAGAGCTGCCCTGATCCAGACAAAGAGTGAGGCTGTGCTCGGGGGGAGCGGATCGACACGGCGCGGGTCTGCTAATAGAATGAATGCTAGCAGCAGTGCCGGTGAAGCTAGTAGCATGCGAGTCTGCGGCAGAACAGCTGCAATTCAACCATCGTGTTCCGCATCCACGCCTGCAGTGCAGCGCAGGTGCAGCACTAGCATTTGATGCTAGATTTCAAGACGCACCAACATGTGGCGAGGCGTGACCAATGTCCATGTCCCCATGAAATGAGGTTGGCTGTCTCCATGTGCGCGCTGCCTCACATCTCGTGTCTGTGCTCGTGTCCTGCCTCGTTCATCATCGCCTCCATACATGTAATAATACTTGCTTGTCCTCTGCAAGCTCGCATTTCGCTCCGTCCCAGCAGCGATCGATCCAGACCGTCAAGGTTCCCTTCGACTCATAAACAGGCTCGTTCATCCCGCGGCTTGGCAACAGAGAGAGGCCTCGAGGCACCGACCGACGAACCAGGGGGTTACCAAGGAGCTGCTGGATCGAGCAGGGGGGAGGACAAGTGTAATTTGGCGGCCTGTTGCATGGTGCTGAAGGGCCTGTAACGGGGTTAGTCCGCGCCAGACACTGAAGGTGAAACGGGCCAACATGCCTGCGCGTTATGCGGCTGTGCCAAATAGTTGGGAAACGAAACGAGTGGTTTTGCGTGATTACGAAGAAGCGATGCTTTTTGTGCGTGCGTGTGTTTAAGTGAGGTGTGGTTTTGGATGAGAAGGAGGTCAGAAGAGGCAGAAAATTAGAAGGGTACAGACAAACTTGTACCGATGTCTGGGGAAAGAGAGAAGCCACAGTCCCATTCTGACGTATTCGAGAGAAAGCAGAAAAAGAAATGAACCAATACTAAGAAGTCTCTATTATTTAGGTAGATATTTTTATTCGTATTCTACTAGGTATGGAGATATCACTGTATTCCTGTGTGATGATTACGTGTAATTACTCTTCATGGAGATGAAGTCATTCTATCTTGCTGTGATCCTGATGCTTCTTTCTTTGCGTCTTCCTGTCTCTCACTCAGTTAGGATGGATTGCACTATCATGCTTTCAGTAATTGAATTGACATTATGATATCAGATTAGAGCATCTCGCTGCCACAATATTTCCACGACCAAAGAAACTTCCAACAAAGCGTACGCCATAATGCCGCTCATATTAGTCTCACGTTCCCCAAGTCAAACGCTTTGCCTAGGTGGTTGAGCCTCACAAGTATCATACATCAAAAAGCAAAAAATGAAAGAAAGAAAGAAAGAAAGAGATTAATACTCATATGCAAACTCGGCAAAGACTTGATTACTTTTTCTCCAGGCTCAACCCCGTTATTCTAAATTAAAACACCGGCTTAATCTGCCTTTCTAGTAGGTAGGTACATTGCAGTATTAAAAAACAAAAAAAGACAACTCAGAAAAAGGAAAAAGGTTTTTTTCAAGACGCGAACCCGCTGCTGGTAAGAGGGGGAATAAAATGGGGGATAAAAAAAAGATGAAATTGGAAAAGAGTGATGACAGGAGCCGGGACAAAAAAAAAAAAGATTGAGGGTGAGAAAAGAAATCCGTGAGCGTCGACTTCTTTGTCTCCGAGGTGCAAGTTTGCCGTCATGCGAATTTCTGTGCTTTCAGTGCGTGTTTTGTCTTACAACGTGACAAATAAATGCGATTTGAGCTATTCATCCAACCATCTTCCACATGCTCTATCGTTGCACTCGTTCTTCCAGTTGTCGAGTGCCCTGTCCCTGTGACAAATACAAAAGAAACCCAAGGGGGTAGTTGATGATGCCACCTTGGTGTGTGTGTGTGTGTGTGCGCAGCGGCGTATATATGTGAGTGAGGATGTAAATGCGAGGATGCTAGTATGCGAGAATATGCGGGTGTGAGTGTATGTGTGAGTATGTGTGCGCGCGCGAGGAAACGGGGTTGAGATGGAAAGAGGAGAGATGAATGGAAGCTGAGGAGGCAGGGGGGGAAACTGCCCTTCGCCACCAGAACATCATACCAACTCTCATTTCGACTTCCTCTAACACCGCTGCTGTAATGATATGTCGTTGTTGTGCAATCAGATAGGGAGACCTATACCATTTCCCCCCTTAGTATGGAGGTCTGGTCAAATTGCCCAAGCTACCTTCGCCAGGACGGCTGTCGATGCCCCTCAAAAGCTCCTGCAGGTCCATCGTTCTGCTATGATCATCGTGGCCACCCAAGAGCGATCGGGATGTGATGCTGTCGCCTCCTCGGCTGTTGGAAACACGCTTATTAGGAGCCTTTACCCCGTAGTCTTGAACCGCAATGTTTCCTCCGTTCAGCTGGCCTCCCTTTTCTGAAAGGACGCTGAGGTTCGGGAGCGGGGGCACGGGAGGGACACCCAGACCTAGCCCTCCTTCTTCCTCTCGGTCACCATCGAGGTAGAGCCTCGGTAAGCTGTCGCGGTTCGAGCCAGCGCTCAGCGGGGCGCCAGAGCTGCCAGACCTCGACCTCTTGCTGAAGCCGTCAGCCGACGTGGTTGGCCGTTCCGGGTCTGTGCCTGTCGGGCTAAAGCTCTTTTCTGATGGGCTATACTCGTAGCTCACCATGCTCTCGCCGCTATCGTCCTCGGAACCAAAAGTGTTGGGGGACGCGTTGCCGGACAGCACACGCTTGAGCTGTTCCACAGACGCAACGCCGGCCTTGCTCGACGATGATATCGTCTGGGAAATGCCGCTTCGAATGCTTCCCTGCCGGAACCTGGGCGAGGGCCCAAGAGGCCCAAGATGGTTCTGGTCCGCCATGTGCGTTTGAGAAGAGTGTGGCCGCAGGTTATGCTGGCTGCCGTAGGGCGAATACGGGAGGTAGCCGTTGTTACCGTTGACGGTGCTGATGGTCAGGTTCCTGAGGCCGGTGGCCGTAGTACCTGTCCGTGAACCGGTGATGGATTCCGTCTTGCCCTCGGCGGCCAGGGCAGCGGCAACTTGCTCTCTAGACCACTCTGTCATCATCTGCTCGCGGTAGGGATCCGGAAGCTCCAATGACCTGTCAGGAGCCATCGCCATGGATGAGGAACCGGGACTCATGGGGGTATTGAGAATAGGCCCTGAAAGCGATCGACCGGGCGAGGCAGAAGGGCTGTTTGGTGGAAATGAGGTGCTCTCCTCGTAGCCCACGGCAATGCATTGGATCAGGGAGGCCCGGTCATCAAACGGTAAGAGTTCCTCTGTCTCGAGAAGGCTGAGATCCCATTCGGGCTGAGGTGCCGCAACGCCCAACGGCCCAATCTGGTCGATGGTCAGCGCTGGGACGTGGATGCCGGGTACCCAGAAGCCTTTGCTCTTGCGCCGGGCGACTTCGTTTCCAATCGCCCTGCCCACTGCAGAGCCCTCAAACTCAAACTTATCGGTCAAGGCCCAGAAGTATCCGTGGCACAGAGCCGCGATGCGAACCTTGTGGATGGGCTGATCGACGGCCAAGATCTCCTCCTGAAGGCGGTAGATCATGGGCACGCCGTAGCGGACAGCGTTAACGCCGAGACGGGACACGAGCTTTGCCAGCAGTGTGTGCAGTGCGGCAAGATCGTTGTCACACTCGACAAAGTGGAGGGCGTTGTCGTAGATGGCGAGGTGAAGCTGCGGGAGGAACTGCGAACGGCGAGTTCTGGGCTGACGGTCCTTGTTGGACGCGCTGGATACGGCACGCCGGCCATTGGGCAACTCACGAGTATTCTTGGCGGCGGCAAGAATGCCTGCAGCTGTGGACTTGTGCGGCTCAAGCGCCTCGTCCCTGGCTAGCAAATCGATGGGAGTCGTCTCGAGATCCAGCCATGTAAGTAGGGCATCGACATATCCGCGCCGCACTTGACCAGAAGGATCGCGTAGAAGCCACTGAGTGCCTTCCCAGACTTGGGTGGGCACTCGGTTGCGGCCCAAGTCGGCATTGGTCCTGACCTTGGACGCCGGGTTAGCAACATGGAGGATGATTTTGACGATACGGAGTGCCGAGATGCGCCCCAGGGTGTAGGAAAAGTAGACGTCGACCAGGCCGTTGGTCTGGCTCTCGGCGAGATCAGCGGTGGCCGTCGCCGAGGGAGGCGAAGGGTTGCTCTGCTGCTCGTTGCCGTCCGTCTTCTCGCCTTGTGGTGTTGAAGGAGCGCTCGACGACCGGCCAGGCTTTAGTCGGCCGACAATGGCAGCAATCATGTCCGAGATCTGATCCGCGTAGTAGATGTGGCTGGCAAGATCTCCAATGCACTGCTCAAGACGTCCCAGGAGCTCCTTGCGTTGTGGCTGGTGTAGCTTCTGCTCCAGGTCGCTGTCCGTCGCCGCCTTGTCGCTAGGAGTCTCGGCTCGGCTTCCGACGTTGGAAAGAGTAAAGAGCTTCCTGATCTGCTTGATAAGACCCAAGAGGACATCCATGACGCTCAAGCCAATGAGGTTGATGTCCGACCTCAACAGAGAATCAATCATGGCAGTCAATGCTACGTGCTGGTCTAGGTTGTCGTCTCCCATGGGAATGTGCGTCAAGGTATCGAGGGCCATCACCAAGATGACATAGCGATCCTGGACCGGAGCCCAGCGAGCAATGATGCTAAAGATTTTAATGGCCCAGCCATCGTCGTTGCCATTGTCGGCGGAGTTGCTCATCATGACCTTTTCTCCCTGCTTTACGCGCTCTGCGATGAACTTAAGTAGGGCGGCTGTCGCCGAGTGGATCTGCGATCTAGAGGGCACAACAAAGATGCTCTTAAGGCACTGCATCGCCAAGACGCCGGTGTCCTCTTCGGCCATCTTGTCCGCATCCATGGCGGTTCCAGAGATGGCAAGCGGGTTTGCATCGCCACCAGCTTCACCATTTTGGACCGTAGCAACGCTGGTCCTGCGTCGCAGAAGCTTCTCCGTGTCCACCTTTTCCTCCGCCTCGACGCGCTCCAGGAGCAGGTCGAGCAGCGTCTCATCATCGGTCCATAGGTTCTCCAGAATCATGGGCACAATGACGTCGATTTGGCGTCCGCTTACTGAGGAAAGGGCATCCGAGGTCGAGATACACTTGATGGCGCCCAACCCAGCGTTCCTCCATCGCATCTGGACCGGCCGGCTCGCAGCAGCGTTTTGATTTGGCGAGTTTCGAGTCGACGCAAGTTGCGCGTAGGATCGAACGACGGACACGTAATGACTGAGATATGCTTGATCGGCGAAGAGGGACGATGGGTCGTGGTGTTCGCAAAAGGCCTCCCATGTGGGCAGCGAGGATTCGATCATGGTGATGTCGTTGGACCGGAGGATGAGGTCGAGGATCTTGAGGATGCACGGCGCGATGAGGACGGCATCTTTGGGCGACTTCTCGACGAGGGCGGCGAGGATACCAAGAGTCACCTGTACGTTACTACACGAGAAGCAGGCGCAATGCCGCAGCAGTCAGCTTTCAAACACTTCAACACCTCAGACACCAACACCAGTATCAAACCACGGCCATCGCCACCGAGGGGTTTGGAGGCGGATGCCCCGGCAAGGCCCGGACACGGCAACGTACCCAATGCGCATTCGCCAGACATCGCTGGCCGTCTTCTTCTCCAGAAAGGCGCCAATCTT